GTAGAAAAGCAGTGGGATTTCAGAAGAAACTTGAAGTTGACTCCATTTTCCAGTGACATTTTATGTCATTGTTACAGAGTTTGTTTAAAGAAGACTCACATGAACCAGTTACTGGTATGTCTTGCTTCCTAGGTTTCCTCAGAGGAAGAAGGCAGAGCTGTTAAAAGATTGCATCCTGCCATAGAAATTGAATTGCCTCTTATGTCTCCATATTGGGTAGATTTTCAAGCTGGGGCTATTGCCACACTGAAGGAAAGAGCGTGACTAAAGGCACACTGTCACCTTTGAATGTCTCATGAGACAGCCTTGCCTGTCTTGTATTTCAGGTCTTTGTAGTCTTTGAGGATGTTTCAGGAAGAGGGAATCCTGGTCAAAGTGTTAGTCCCTGAGGCTGTCCAGTTATCCTGGGTATACGTAGAGTGTCATACTACTGGGCCTGCAGTCCCCTTGAAACGATTGTGAAGTAGTAGTACATCAGTCAACACTAGATAGATTACAATATTGTAAAATGTAAGTGTTCTCAGAGACAGAGTGAAAGAATGAAGTATAAATGTGCTTTCATGAAAGTGGATTTTGTAAACATTTTCCTTTCATTATTTGCAGAGTGGGGTGCTAGTGTATCAAATCAACCTTTTTAAGTTTGCTGCTATTGCTGTTTTGTGCTCCTGCTGTTTGTCTGCCTTTTACCTTTAAAAATTGACAGAGTGACATCCTGTTACTCAGAAGCTATATAGTTGTTACTGGATCTCTCCAAATCATTTGTACATATCAAAAGTAGGTAATACTGGTGTTAAATCTGGGTTAGTAGAGTGTTGAGAAATTAAGGATTAGTTTCTTTCTTTAAAGAATGAAATTCTAACTTCAAATGTATGAACACGTTCTCATTGCAGAGTTTCTAGAACCATAACTCATTGCATAAGGTAGCAGGCTTGTTGAGTGTACAAGTTAGTAAATATATTACCAGAACAAAAACATCTTAAACAATGTAGGAAATAGTTTATTTTCAATACAACTACCTTACTCCATTTGTACAAAAGGGTGTATCTAAAACAGGATCTTCTAACATACACATTCTCTTTACAATTACTATTTCAGTTAGAATTTTACTTTTTTTTTTCTCCAAGGAAAAAGGAATAAGACTTAAAATGAAGGAATAAGAATGAAGGAATAAGACTTAAAATTAAAACCAGAAAAAATAGAAAACTTGAATTATAGACTGAAACGAAAAGTCTCTATTATTTCTCTCTAAGTTTCATTTTTGTAGAGTTGTACTTCTAACAGATTTGGTATCAGTACACTCTACTGAAATTATCTTGGATGACATCAGAATTCTTCTTAAATCAAAATTATTTTTAAGAGCTGATACAGTTTTTTTTTTATCTGTGTGCTGTTTGTTAGACATTCATCTACTTCTAGTTATGTTGTATTGAGGAACTCCACATTACTTAAGTGAAGTTTTTCAAAACATTACATTACTGAGAAGCAATCAGTTTTGAAAACCGAGTTTTGATGTATTTAATGTATTTTTTTTTCATTGTTTCCAGTGATTAACAAGAGTCCAAAACAAAACTAGATGTTGTCTAATTTTCACTTAAGAGTGTGTAAGCTGATCATCTGGAAGGCCATATTGAAGTTCTAAATAATTAATTTCTGAATTTACAGATGAAATGTTTACATCTCAAACCCAGGTTTAGTTCAAAACTAGACACTGCTGGTTTTTATTATAAACCATAAATCTCATTAGCTAGCCCTCATATATTACATTTTTAGATCCTAGAAACTAAGATTGAAATTGTGTTTTTAGATCAAGGAAGCTGATCTACTACATTCTACTACAAACCACTGTCTGTCATTGAAAACTAATGTAGGAATCTAAACACTGAATTCAGAATACGTAACAAAGAAGATGCATATCATTTGAAATGCTTGTTTTTATCTTTGCTGCTTTTGCATTGAATCTGTGCTGCTTCTGTGCAACTGTTTTCCACTGTAGAAACTCCATCCTGCTGCCTTGCTTCTCGTGAGCGTATTTACAAAACTAGTGATGTAGCTGGGCCTGCCTCTGCTATTTCATCTCTCTCTCACAAACTGAAGGGTGGGTATGCATGCCAACATAGCAAGGTTATTCAGATTGTTTACCTGCAAAATGTTTTGGGTTTGTTTTTCTTCCTCCTTCCATTCATTTTCATTTCATTCATGTAAGAAAATGTTTTGAAAGCGAATGTTCTGGGAGCTCATCTGATGTAATCATTCAGTGTTGCCTTCCTGAGTTGCAGCAACTCCATGATACATAATCTAGCTGTCTTTGCTTTCTAAAATGGAAAGTGACTATTAGGCTAATTACAGCTGTTTTCAAACAATAGGCAAAAGCGTTATATAAGAGGAAACAGGAAGTAAAATCTCGGGGGGGGGGGGTTTTGGTTTTGGGGTTTTTTTTTTGGTTTGGGGTTTTTTTGGTTTTTGTTTTTTTGTTTTTTGGGTTTGTTTTTTTTTTGTTTGTTTGGTTTTTGGTGGTTTTTTTTGGTTTGGTTTGGGTTGGTTTTTTTTTTTTTGTTTTTTTGGTGGTTTTTTTGGGTTTTTTTTTGTTTTGTTTTGTTTTTTTGTGTACAGAGACAGCAGCTTGCTGTTTTATGCAGTTTTTCCTTTCAGAGATTTTTCTCTTTTTGCTGATACTCTTGAATGCTAGTGAGGATTATTTATATGTGCAAATCCAAAACTTTGGTTTTTTAAAAAAACAAGATACTTTTGTTGTTGGAAGCCATTGTTAGGCTACACCTTTCATAAGCAGTTTTGTTCTGGAATGTTTTCCTCATTGGTATTTGCTAATCATGCATGTACTTTATGCATCCATTTGCTGAATGAATTGAAGTGTTATGTGTCCTCTAAAATGATTATCATCTTTTCACTTTCTTTTCTCTTTACTGAGGCATTCTGTTAAATTTTGGATCGGAAGTATTTTCTCATCTGGCAGACTGGGAAAAATGTGTATAGAAGTAGTTCCAATTTGCATTTCAGAATTTATCACAAAATAAGCATCTCAAAATAGCTCATGAGTAAAACTGGTGAATAATTAAGCTGGTATGGTTGAAATGCTTGGACTGATATTTTCAAAACTCTTTTTTCTTTTGACAAGAACAGTCATTTTGTAAACCACAATTTACCATGTTATTTCTTGCCTTCCTATTCCAACTTCCCCCTTCCAAGTGAAAAACAATTATAGAACTTGTAAAAATAAAGACAGATTAGACTCTCAAAATTGATTAGGATGATAAATACTTGCTATGTTCTCGTTATATTCTATTGCTTACATTTGATGTATTATTCTTGAATATAGACACAATATTTCTTCTCTGCTCAGAAAAGTATGAACTTCTGCCATGTCTTGGGAAAACAGAAAAATATTCTAACTTTCAGGCTTGTTGAATATTGCAATATAATTAATTACCTTCACTTTTTTCCTGTTGTTAATTTTATTGTAAGGTATTTAAATATGGAAATAGCAAATAAATAATATTTTTTTGTAACCTGAGGAAGCATCTTGGTTGCTAAGTTTTGCTCTAAATTTTTCTTGGTTGTTTTTTATATTAGAAGAGATAATAGTTAGAAAAAATTGCATCTACATATTTTCTAGGGTAGGGGTAAGTGTTAGTGATTGAGAACAACATGAAGTTACTTTAGATCCCATAATGAATAAGAAAGTAGACACTGATTTCACATCTTCTAATACTGAAGGTGCTAGATAAAAGGTGACTGTCTATCCTGTTCCCATCAGAAATCAGGGCTTAAATTTGCGAATTTTGTCTGATTAATTGAAACTTTATTTTTTAAAAAATAGTTGCTTTCCCAAAAAAATGCCCAGGCAAATGCAAATAACCTTTTAGTATCTAGAAAAGTATAATATTCCCAAATTGTGTCCTAATTCTGCAGGCTTGTTAGGGAAACACTACTCTTGTTTGACTAATGAAAACCCATTCAAATCAAAAGGATTTAACTCTGCATTCAAGATTTTGCAGTAAGGATTTGTGGAGAGACAGCTGTATTAACTGCTGCATTGCTTGCCAGTAATTTCCTTATTGCTTGGATTAATTTTCATAATACAGTTCTACGAGAGAGACTTGGATCACAGAGGTGAATCTGGAGCAAATTTCTTTAATAAGCTACTTTTTACATACACTTGTTTTGTATGTACTTGTACTAAGCTTCCTGTAGTTCTTACAGCTCTTACAGTCTTATAGCTCTTATAGTCTTACAGCTCTGTAGATTAATGTATGTGTAAAGTCAGTGTGCATAGGAACAATAAATGAGTGCATCAAAGTAGGAGGACGTTGTTGACCAGAGTTGGCCATTTAACTTAGTGGTTGAAAAAAGTGGCTTTGTTGTTTTGGAGGGATGTTTAAGTGTTTTGGTAGCAGAACATGGGGTAGATTTTCGATTAGAAAAAGTAGATTTCATAGATTATCCATTTGAGTAATTTTGAGCAATTTGCAAGCCTCTTGCCCAATTTGCTTTACTAACGGTGTTTACTTCCTACAATTCCTGGCTTTTGAGCATTGAAGAAAATAAATCTGGCAGTGCATTTGATCTCTGTGCAAGTCTCCTGTTGCAGCCTGTCACACACATTGAGATAATAGATAAATAGTCCCTGGTTTCTGTTGCAACTGTGGTAAACTTAGTTAATGCCTGGAATTTCACTTAAGGATGTAAATTGTGCTTCCTTTACCAGTGTTTTGTAGAAAGAGTGAAGTGTGCCTTTTGATACCTCCACAGTAGTGTTTTCTCTGTAAAAACTTCCTAACACTTGTTTCTGTGTATCTTTGGGAAGAGAAATGTATGAAAAGTATTTTAGGGGGAAAAAGAACCCTTCATGTTTCCTTTCATTTTGATATGAACAGAAGCATGTGTTTGATATTTATCTTGTGTTCAGGTCTTCAGTCTTTGTTTTGTGCTATTAAGGGTGTCACTGTCAGCATGTAACAATTAAATTATGAAACATTATACAGGTGACCGAATGAATTTCACAGGAGCTGCTAGACCGATTTCTCCAGCAGGAAAATCAGACATGGCATCAAAGCACAGAGCTGACTGCAGGTCGCCCAAGCTTGACGTGCGCATGAACCGAGCTGCAGCCGAGCAGAAGAAACCCAGAAGTACCGATGGCCTATCAGCCAGCGAGTGCCTGATGCTGAAATCAGACGCCGCAAAGTTGCGCTCAGACTCGCACAGCAGGTCTTTGTCGCCAAATCATAACACTTTGCAAACACTAAAAACTGATGGAAGAACAACTCCTGGTCTGAGAGCTGAATCTCCAGGGCCGGGAACTCGGTCGTCTTCTCCGAAGACAAAGACGCTTACAGGCATTAGATCTGGTGCTAGTTCTCCACGATCCTCATCACCCAATGACAAAACTCTACCTCAGAAAGCTTCATCCCCTGTAAAAACAAAGCTTGATCCTCCTCGAGAACGCTCCAAATCAGATTCTTACACGTTAGATCCAGACACCCTTCGCAAAAAGAAAGTGCCACTGACAGAACCCTTAAGGGGGAGGTCCACTTCACCCAAACCAAAAATTACTACAAAAGATGAAAAACCTGCACCAGAAACTGAAAATAGAGCTCCTTCCCCTCACGTAGTACAAGAAAATCTTCACAGTGAGGTAGTTGAAGTCTGTACTTCGAGTACTTTAAAGACTGACAGCATTACAGATACTACTTGTGAAGACAACACTGAATTCAGAAGCCTGGATGATGGTTCTAATAAAGTTCATTTCAGCATTGGAAAAGCACCACTGAAAGATGAGCAAGACATGAGAGCATCTCCAAAAGTGAGCCGTAAATGTGCTGGCAGGCACACAAGACCCAAAAAGGAAAAATCCAACTTCCTTTTCAAAGGAGATGGATCAAAGCCCATAGAGCCTGCCAAGCAAGCAATGTCACCTTCTGTTGCAGAATGTGCTCGAGCCGTATTTGCTGCATTTCTTTGGCATGAAGGAATAGTTCATGATGCCATGGCATGCTCATCTTTTTTGAAGTTTAATCCAGAACTGTCCAAAGAGCATGCACCCATACGGAGCAGTCTTACTCAACAACCTGCAGAGGAAAAAGAAACCAAGTTGAAAAATAGACATTCATTGGAAATATCATCTGCTCTCAACATGTTTAACATCTCACCTCATGGACCAGATATATCTAAAATGGGTAGCATCAATAAAAACAAAGTCCTCTCAATGTTAAAAGAACCACCTCTGCATGAAAAGTGTGAGGATGGAAAAAATGAAACTACCTCCTTTGAAACATCCAGTCATCACACAATGAAATCTAAGTCTCCTCTTCCATTAACACTGCAGCACTTGGTAGCTTTCTGGGAAGATATTTCTTTAGCAACTATTAAAGCAGCATCCCAAAACATGATTTTTCCAAGTCCTGGTTCTTGTGCAGTGTTAAAGAAGAAAGAAAGTGACAAAGATAACAAGAAAGCCAAAAAGGAGAAAAAGAAAAAAGAAAAGGTTGAGGCTAGGCCAAGGGGAAATCTTTTTGGAGAGATGGCCCAACTTGCAGTAGGAGGACCTGAAAAAGATACCATCTGTGAGTTGTGTGGAGAATCCCATCCATATCCAGTGACTTACCACATGAGACAAGCTCATCCAGGTAAAACTCCGTATTTTTAATTCCCATTTCCATCCATAAAGTATATTTGACATGCATTTTGGAGTTAGTTGCTGTTACAAGAATGTGTCAGGCTATCCTTTATATTACATACAGTAAGTTTAAAGTTACACTTGCATACAGATTATTTGCACATCTTTGTGTGTAATTTTAAGTAGTTAGGGATCTAAAGTTTTTTAGTTGTTTGAAACGATGTCAAAATAATGCTCTGACTTTACAGTAGCTCTTCAGGAACATGCCATGTTTTACACTTTAGGATTTGAAACTGCTGAGAAAATGGAAATAAAAAATTAGATTGGTCGGTTAGAGTTTCTACAATTGGTAGAAGTTTTCTGTTTCTGGTCTACTGTCAAGAGTTGAAACTTCTGTCTGCTGTGTCAGTACTGGGTATCAGTGACTTAATATTTTTGATGTACTCATTGGTCTGTACTATTTTTTAGCTCTGTGTGTGCAAAGTTAAAGTCCTGAATCTTTCTGGGAAACTCTAATCAGGAAAAGAATACCCTCCATTCCCTCTTAAGCTTTGTTAGCTAGGAGGCGAGAGATTTTTGTGTTTGTTAAAGTACAAAGTATTGTTGGCTAACTTATAATACTGACCTTAACCATAACTTAGCTGTCTGAATAGGGAGCTGTTCATGCTTTGGACAAGTTCTTTATAAAACTTGAAAACTGCAGTGCGTTTGTATTCTTTAGACACTGGTGGGACAAACGGACAAGACCCTTGTTCTGTAACCAATTCAGATGTAGAGAAAAGTAGAAAATGAGGCCAGGAAAAGACAAGCATCTCCCTTTCTCCGCTCTTCATCCCTCTTTTACAGCAATGAATAATAGAATAAGAATCCTGCTTTTGAAATCAGTTTTTGTCACCTTTCCCCCGTGTAGGCTGTGGCCGCTATGCAGGTGGCCAAGGTTACAACAGCATTGGGCACTTCTGTGGAGGATGGGCTGGGAATTGTGGCGATGGTGGCATTGGAGGGAGCACGTGGTATTTGGTTTGCGATCGATGCCGAGAAAAGTATCTCCGTGAAAAGCAAGCAGCAGCAAGAGAGAAGGTATTTTCAGCTCATGTGTTTAACTTTCTATCTGCTTAATAGTCCTGCGTTCACAACTTGAAAAGAAGGGCTAGTTTAAGAAATTTGGAATTTCATAATTCTGGAATATTGTCTTATCCTTATTGTTAGGTTTAAGATAATAAAATAGAAACTTTGCTGGCTTCTGACAGGTTTTCTTCCCTTCAGATGATAGTGTGCTCAAATTTGTAAAGTAATTTTATTTTTTATCCCAGTATAATGACAGGATTGAATGTAATAATGTTGTTAACTCTTTATTTAATTTTGAGTGGTTTTATTTGTTTGCTAAAATGAGTGCTGTTTTAACTTCATGTTTATAGTTTTTTTAAATGATTCTAATAATCCAGATCTTTGCATACAAGATGCCACTAGAGGAGTTTTTAATGGGAATAGTGCAAAAAGTGTTTTTCTTGTAGTGATCTTCAAGGACTAATTTCAAAATCTTGCTCAAAGTATGCAAATACGTAGATGTTAATGATGCTAATTTAACTCTATTTTTAAGCTAAACCTTTTGAAACTTTTTGCACACAAAATTAATCTTGAGGCAAATGTCAGAACTATCAAACTATTAAAAGTTTGCAAAGGTAGGAAAGTAATAGAAATATGTTCTGTCTTAGGAGGCATTTTACAACAGGTAGAATTAAGCAGCTGTATTATGAGCTAGGTTCTCAGATTTTCCTGTGGTGAATTTAATTATGCCTTATTTAAATTACCTAGATTAAACAATCTAGGAGAAAACCAATGCAAGTTAAGACACCTCGTGCCTTGCCAACTATGGAAGCTCATCAAGTGATTAAAGCCAATGCACTGTATTTACTATCACTGAGTAGTGCTGCTGAACCCAGTATCCTCTGCTATAACCCTGCAAAAGCATTCCAATCTCAACTTCCCAGTCTAAAAGAAGGAATTTCTGAAGACTTTCCCATTAAGATGCCATGTCTCTATCTACAGACATTAGCAAGGTAATTTAAAGATGTGTATTGAATATTGATACTAACACTCATCTGTGTAGAGCATTGGATAAAAATGTGTGTGTAAACTAAATTAAAACTTACGTAGAAAAATACATATTTTCCTAATTCTTCATGGTTTTTTCTTCTGTCTCTTTTGATCCATGATCTTGTTCAATCTTTTAGATTGTATTTTCTCCTAGAATCAAATTTGCCCTAAGTTGCTTTCAGATGCTAAATATTTTATAACAGTTCAGTTTCTGTCCAAAGAATTCAGAATTTCCCAAAGAGTTTAACTTAGTGTGTTAGTAGCAGACATATGTGCTCCTTTTTTCTCTTCACAGTTAAAAGTAGTAAAAAGGAAATCAGAAGACTTGTGCTTTCTTGGTAATTCTAAGTAAATGTCACGGTAGTGTCTCATGTATGTTGGGTAGACTTTTGGACCTAAAATACATACAGGAAATACCTGACGAAAATACTAAAAGATAGAAAAGAGTGATCCTCACTACCTGTTGATTGAGAATGCCACTGCATCTTCCATGAACACTTCAAAGCCACTACCAGCATTAATAGCATTAATAGTTGAAGAGTACATGACTAGCATTGGCTGACGAGGTGTATTGGCAAAACAACTTTTGCGTACGCATGTGTGTTTCAGCAGGTTTTAATCTTTAATCCTAATTTTAAAATCTCATTTGGTTTAGGCATCATCATGAAAATTTTGTTGGGTACCAGGATGACAACCTGTTCCAGGATGAGATGAGATACTTGCGTTCAACTTCAGTACCTGCACCATACATCTCTGTTACTCCTGATGCGAGCCCGAATGTCTTCGAAGAGCCAGAGAGTAACATGAAATCTATGCCCCCAAGGTACTTCCCTGTAATTCTAGGTGCTACATACAAATGTTAAAACAGTTGTGTAACACCAATTTAAAAACAAGAAATCATTGCTGCAGTTAAGAAGCTAAAGTATCAGATCTGTCTCTGAAATGGCAGCGTAAAAGCCAAAAGCATATGAAGCTGCAGTTAGGAAATTTTCAGTGAATCATAGCATATCAGGTGTATTTTCAACTGTTAGCAGTGAAATATATTTGAATATGTAAATATGCAAGGAATATACAAATCAGAACGGAAACTTTTTACTGTACTTCAGTTACTTCCCTGTAGAAAGATCCTGGGTTTACAACCCAAATACAAAAAAGAATTTGTTCAGTTGATAAGGACTCTTAACATACAGGGAAATTTATCCATAGCCTTTACTTCAGGCCTGCTTATTTCCCCATAAAGAAAAAATTTCTAGCATCTGCAGAACTGAAGAAATGATCTAAAGATCAGTAATCCAAGGAGTGTAACTGTTGCAAACTCCTTGAAAATGTAGCAGGTTTTTTTTACTCTATATATCCGTTCTTTACCACAGCTGATTGAGTGCAGATTAAGGAGCTTTTTTGAAAGGAAGTAGCTGTTGTTCTCCTTTCAGCATTTCATTCTGAAGGGAAGTTTGATCAGGAGGAAATTTCATTACCTTACACTTTTCAAAGCAGATGTTGTTTCTTTGTTCTGTGGGACATAAAAATGTCACCAAAGAAATGACAACGCTGTCTAGGACCAAGAGTGCTAGATGGTTTCTGTCAGGTTAAGCCACTTTCTTGTCATATTACGTTTACTGTGATTGAATTCAAGCAGGTATTAAAATTTTTGTTGCACCAGGGAAAAAATGGCTCTTACTCTTAAAGTAGTCCAGAATCTACTTAGATGCTCAGTGTTCTCAGATGTCAGTGATTCCTCATCTTATAGTGAGGATGTAATGAAGAGAAAATATGCTTTTAATCTGTTTTTATTTCAATTTGTTGTATTTCATACTGACTGCACAAATAGTTTATTGGAATACTACAATCTATAATGTAGTCTTTTCAGAAATAGAACTTTTCTAACAAAACTCCTTAAGAGTGCATCGTATTGGTATATTCCTTTATTAAAACTGTGGACACCATGGTCTCCTGAGGCCTGTAGGGACAGCATAAGCTGGGAGTCCTTCTGCAGACTGTAAGAAGTCCATTGAAGGTAAGGAGTAAAACATGTCAGAGGTATAGCCGTAGCAATTGAAATTTGACTTTAAGGCTAATGATGTTGGAAACTATTACTTCACATAAAGTTCTAAATTTCAGTTGGCTTGCGTATTAAAAATTCACTTCATAGATGTTTTCACATGCATTCTCAGGAGAAGTTTGGTCTGAAACTTCAAATTAGGCATGATCTGAATGTTTGTATTTCTCTAAAAGAAATGCCTAAATTCTTGGAACTCATCATGTTCATCATTACATTTGTTTATAAAGCACTTGCATGCTTTTTCACCATGTGTAATTCTAATATGTGCCTCCTTCTTTTCCAGCATTTAAACAGTTCTTAGGTACATAAGACAAAGTTTCATGCAGTAGTAACATTGTGATTATGAAATGCATGTATCCTTATTAATTCTTGATGTATAATTCAGATACACTGTATATATTTGTTAATGAGTGTATTACTTCACTGATTTCTTTGTAGTTTGGAAACCAGTCCAATCACAGATACAGATCTTGCAAAGCGTACAGTCTTTCAAAGATCATATTCAGTTGTTGCATCAGAATATGACAAACAGCACTCAATTTTGCCAGCACGTGTAAAAGCAATCCCCAGGAGACGAGTCAACAGTGGAGATGCAGGTGAGAGCACAGACATCAGAAGCAGGGGAAAATGATTCAAGGATTTGCAGTTCTTGGAAATTGTAGACAAAAATATTTTATTTTATAAATACATGTAGTCACTTTTTAGTTATAAAACAAAATAACAGTAAACATTAGGTGTTTGGTAATTTGCACAGAATTAACCTATAATTGGATTAGGATTTACTGTAATTCTAAAATTTGTGGTGAATCTTCTGTGCCTGATATAAAAGTGATGGTGGTATTTTCTCTCTCAGTTGAAGCATCATTTTTCCATATTGCTTTTTTAATGGGGTTTTCTCTCAGAAAAAAAAATCGTTCTAAAAGTGCTTTATTGCTTTTCATTTTTACTTTGGCTATAAACTTGAAATGCACAAGGAATCTAATGTATGCATATTTTTATGCTTTTGAATAGAAGTGGGGTCCTCTCTCCTGAGACATCCATCTCCTGAACTTTCTCGGTTAATCTCCGCCCACAGCTCTCTTTCCAAAGGAGAGAGAAATTTCCAGTGGCCAGTATTGGCATTTGTAATCCAGCATCATGATCTAGAAGGACTTGAAATAGCGATGAAACAAGCCTTACGGAAATCTGCTTGCAGAGTCTTTGCCATGGAGGTATTCATGTACTGATGGCTCTTGTATGATTAAAATAATGTGGTTGTAAATTCTGCCTTGGAAAATTTTTTAAATTTTTTTTAACTGTACTATAGTTCTCATTTAAATAAACTGTTTTAGCTACAGAGCAATAACATCTTACTTGAAGACCTTTGCATTATTATTTGCCTGTCCAAATCATCAATGCACCTCCTTCAATGAATGGTGTAAGAAATGGTTTTACTCCAGGTTTGCTTAACCAGTTGGTAACTCCTTGTATGTAATTTGTTTTAGGCCTTCAACTGGCTTCTTTGTAATGTCATTCAAACAACTTCTCTCCATGATATTTTATGGCATTTTGTGGCTTCCCTGACTCCTGCACCCGTAGAGCCTGAAGAAGAAGAGGATGAGGAAAATAAATCAAATAAAGAAAATGCAGAACAAGTAAGTGAGGTTCTGCTGATTTTGTAGGCAAATTAGAAATACTTCCATATGAAAAACAAAATTCCTTAATCCTCACTCTGTGAAACAAAACTTAAAATGTACTTGAATTAATTTTGTAGACATAGATCAATTTTTTTTCCGAATCATCACTTTCTATATGCTGATGAATCACGAGGTCTTCTAAAGCATTATTTTTTAGTATTCTTGGGAAATAGGAAAGCAAAAAAAGCACAAGCACGTTGCCAATCCATTTTTAAAAAATAACCATTTGCTTTTTATTCCTCCTTTGCCCACTGACGAGAGAGAAAAGAAAATATTTTTAGAGAAGCTTGGTTTGGTTTACTACGTTGTTCAGTGTTCTAAAAAAAGTTAATTATAAAAGTATATACAGTTAATATTATACAGTATAGTCAATTTACGTACTGCTGTGAACATGTATGTATCTAAATGATTAAATAAGTAATTATATGTGCAGTAGGTATACTTAATTCAGTGATTTAAGAAAAATCTATAGTTCTGAAAATGTAGCCTGAAAAGCGGTGCAGTCTAATATCTCATACTTCCAAAAGATCTCTACAATCTATTTTAGACTTAGCTCTGATTTAAAACATTATCATATCCACAATGAATAGCTCAAAAAATATCATGCTAGTGTTGTCAATAAGTCAGGTGAATCTTTATCACTTCAAATCTAATCCAGTTTTGAAATTAGTTGTTCTGCAATTAGTCTTTCCAGCAGTGTAACCTGGTACCCTGCTTTTCTGATACTGACACGCCTTGACTAAGAATTATTTTCAGAGCTCAAATGAAATGCAGCAACTGATAATATCAGCTTAGTTATCAAGTTTGCTATGGGTGGATTTTGCTTCTCAGATCAAATTGGTTTCAACTGCTGGAATATGTTATTTATTTCTGATTTGTTTCTTTGTTTTCAAATTATTGCCATATAATGTTTCATATCTTTAACTCGTGAGAAATACGTGGCAGTATACAATACCCTTTCCAAATCCGTGTTTGAGGCTTGTGTGTAACTTACTCCAAAAATTCTCTGACAGGAACTGCGTGAAGTTCACATTCATTGTAAGATTGTTGCAGTTACTCTTACAGCAAATAGCAGAAATGTTTTTCTTGACTTAATCTTTTGTCTCAGAAAGTCTGTTAATAACACCCAAATCGCTTTGCTCTGTAGGAAAAAGACACACGAGTGTGTGAACACCCTCTGTCAGATATAGTGATTGCTGGGGAAGCTGCTCACCCCTTACCCCACACTTTCCATCGCCTTCTTCAGACAATCTCTGATCTTATGATGTCTCTTCCCAGTGGTAGTGCATTACAGCAAATGGCCTTAAGGTAAGCACAAATCAAGAAAATTCTTGAAAAGGCTGGAAGTGTTGTAGAATTACAGGTTAAAAGATTTTACAATGTAAATAGGATGCTTGAAAGCTTTGTGCGAGAAGAAGCACATCTGTCCTCACCACTAGGAAGGAGATGCATAGAAGACACTAAAGTGTTTATATGTATAAATAATAATATAAAAGACTTTGTAGAGAGAAATGTACTTTCTTTTAAATTCTATACTGTGTCCACTGTGAAAAAGAAAACATCTAATAGAATAAGATGGAAGGATCTGTGTGTATGTGCATGGCTTTGTAGTGCTCTTTGCTCAGAAATCTGTCAGCTGGATAGTAACTTTAAACTTTGAGATTTTTTCTGTGTATTTGTCTCAATGACAAAAAAATTAATAATAATGGTTGCATTTGCTACTAAAATTCTAAGAAAAGTTTATTGCACTTTCCTCAAAAAGGTACCCTAGAAACACTTGAGATCCTGCAAATTTGAAGTTAAATATTTCTAGAAAGTACTTTGAGAAGCAAAAGTGCAATTAATAGTTTCATGGATAAGTTATGTCTTTTGCCAACATTTAAATTTCAGAGTCAACTAAATTTGTTTTCAGGTGCTGGAGTCTTAAATTCAAACAATCTGATCACCAGTTCCTGCACCAGAGCAATGTTTTTCATCATATCAACAATATTTTGTCGAAATCTGATGATGGAGATAGTGAAGAGAGTTTTAGTATCAGCATTCAGTCTGGTTTTGAAGTCATGAATCAGGTAAGCATTACAGCTCTGGCTCAGAAGCAGACATATTTGTGAACAGTCTGTACCTCCGATGATGATTCTCTTTAAATTAAAAAGATTCTTTATTGCAATGTCATCTTTTCTTGAACATAGTTTAGGGTCTTGTTCCTGCTATTTAGGCTCTCATATTTAGCTTTAGAGGTTCAAATATTGACCCTTAGCCTGTGTATCACTCAAAGCTAAATTTTGGAGGAGTGCTTGTTTGCAAGTAAAGTTTTTGGGGAATGTCATGGAGTTGGTTAGCTTTTTTAATATTGTGTACTTCCAGTTCTTCTTTGCTTACATCTTTTTCCTTCTGTTTTTCTGAGGAGCATGAATTAATACTTCTGTTTAATATTTTTAAGTGTTTTCTTCCATTTAGTAATATATTTAGGCATTTGCTAATATATTCAGCTCTTAGCTATTAATGTTTCCTTTGGCTTAAGGGACTGAATAATTTGAATCTATAAAGGACAAATTTCTTGGAGAGTACATTTCACCAAAACAGAAGTGTCTGTGTGGTTTTAAAAATTGTAAACCATGCCCATGTATTTGGGCTTACTCTCAAGTATTTTAAAAATTCCCATTTGTTTTCACAGGAACTGTGTATAGTAGTTTGTCTGAAAGACCTAACCAGCATCGTTGACATTAAGACATCAAGCCGACCTGCCATGATTGGTAGTTTAACAGATGGGTCTACAGAAACGTTCTGGGAGTCAGGAGATGAGGACAAAAACAAAACTAAAAACATCACAATCAACTGTGTAAAAGGAATCAATGCACGTTATGTTTGTGTTCATGTAGACAATTCCAGAGATCTTGGGGTAAGAGGAAAATAAAACTGTCTGTCATTGAAGGTGCATAATCCAAGCTCTGTGTGTTTATCAATGAAGAAATGCTGTTTTCTTTGTCAGTTGGTAATTCCAATGCTGAAGTTCACATTTCAAAGTGACGTTTCCAAGTCCTGTGATTTAGAAAGCAGGAACTGTTATGGTCAGACCAGTCTGTCTGAATTTGTAGTTACATAAAACTGAAACTGGGAAACTTAATTCTTAGTGGCATGTTCTATTTCAGACACATTTCCAATAATTTAATTCTTGTATGTTACTTTTCTTGCTCATGGTTTCTTCAGAAGCATTGAAATAAGGACCTGTCATAAAATCCAAATTTTCTAGACTTTCTACTTTCTAGAGAGACTTTCTAGAACTAGAAAGACTTTCTAGTTCTTTTTTATTGATCTGTACAGTAATGTTACATATATATATCTGTATTTCAACTACAGCTTTTATTACAAAGAGCAGACTGTGTTAGAGAACTGTGTTTTGGAATTCTTTGTCCTTGCTTTTGATCATGGGGGGTTTTTTGTAATGAAGCAATTTTTCTCTTTTATGTATGTATTCTCTTAATACAGAAGTAGTCAGAACTGTCTCAGTTGAAGTGTTTCTTTCTTATTTTGCTTGTTTGTTGCAGAACAAAGTGACCTCTATGACCTTCCTAACTGGCAAGGCAGTAGAAGATCTCTGCAGAATAAAACAGGTAAACATTTTAACAGTTGACATACAATAACTGCTGTCATTTTTTGTGCACATACGAGAGATTTTTCTGAGCGAATAGTTTCCATTTCTTATGGTGATAAATTAGTTTGCAAGTATCAGACATGATAATAAGCCTTGTAATTGGAAAATACTGTATTACTAATGACAGAATTCAGTTATGTACTGGCTATTGATTTGTATGTACTGGCTATTGATCAAGCTTTTAGTCTTCTACTGAAACAGAACAGGGTTATCTAAAATGTTCCTTAGATTAATTTAGTTTTAATTACTATATGGTAACTTATCCTTTCAGCTGGAGAAGGTTTCCCAAAAAAACTCCCAGAACACAGGCAGGGACTGATTCAGCTTTGCTTCCTCTTTGCTCTGACACTTTCCCAACAGCTTTTTACCCTCCAGCACACCCACATACTGTATCCTGTCTCATGATATTAAAAAAAAACGTTAGCCTTGTCTGCTGCAGCACAGTTCAATGCAGACACTGAGAATTAATGTAGAAATGGAAAAAACAAACATCAGCTTCATTTGAATGAGCCCATGGATAGGAGAGAGGGTTCACTTGGCTCAGGGCTTGGGTTTCTCTGAGTAGTGATGTGAGGCACTGCACCCTATCAGTGCTTAGTTTCTAGTAGTAACACTGTAGTTTCATATGAAATATATGATTTCATATAGCATGATTTATGTTGGGTTTTTTTTTTAAGAGTACTTATTTTAAAATACACTTAATTTGATACGGTTCATCTCCCATTTTTTACAGTTAAGTCCTGCATGTCCTGGTGTAAGGGTAGCAAATACTGACTTCCACAGAGTAACAATTTCTTTAGCAGGGGTTTGTGTGAGTAGAGATGAAATAATGTGTGAAATTATAATTGTGTGTTGTATTTTTGGTTAAATTGTAGAGGCTGTTTTTTTTCTTTTTTCATAACAGTAGTGACCAAATATTAGTTTTAAGAGTTGTTTTTTTTAATATATGAACTGTTGCTTTGCGGATAAAAGAGATAGATTGGCCACTATTTCGAATCAGCTTTACAGATAAAACTGAAATGGCTATATGTCACTTTTTAATCTGAACTCAGGAGGTTGAATATTTTTGTAATTAAATATAAGTCTTTCTGCTCAGGTTGAGATTTTTATTTCAAGCACAGTATTTGTTACAGTGATATATATAATAATAGGTGACTTTTTGTTTGATGTAATGTCAGTTTCCAACTTTATATTTCTCTTTAATAGGTAGACTTGGATTCAAGACATATTGGCTGGGTAACAAGTGAGCTTCCTGGGGGTGATAATCACATCATCAAAATTGAATTGAAGGGTCCAGAGAACACATTAAGAGTTAGACAAGTGAAAATTCTTGGCTGGAAGGATGGTGAAAGCATTAAAATAGCAGGCCAGATTTCTGCAAGTGTGGCTCAACAAAGAAACTGTGAATCTGAGACACTGCGAGTATTCCGACTTATAACATCCCAGGTAGGATTTTAATGATGTGTTACACAGTGAAAGTTACTGTGAATTGTAGACTTTAAGTGGTTTATGTTTTAATGGAAAATGTCACATCTGCACTAGTTTATCTTTGAGAGACAATAATTATCATTGTCTGTCTTCCAGGTATTTGGGAAACTTATCTCCGGAGATGCTGAGCCAACCCCAGAACAAGAAGAAAAAGCACTGTTGTCATCCCCAGAAGGAGAAGAAAAAGTACACAATGTATTTATTTGTATTCTATCCATAATACTTTGCTGAAAAAAATTATCCAGGATGATATTCAGTATTTGTTCTGTTTCATGTGCTGCATAATTTTTAGATCAGAACAGAAGTAAAATGTTGCAATTGTGTATTTTTAAAATATCGTATTGTATTTTTAATACTAAACCATAGTGTCTTTTTTAAAGTAAATTATAACTGAGGCATATGCATTTAATGGAAACACCATAGTAATGGTGATGCAAATGATGCCTACAATTAGAGGAGTAGTTAACAGCTGTAGTAATGGTCAGTGTGAAGGTTCTGGCCATTATCTTTTGCTTCAAGAGAGGCTCTTGTTAATATGTAGAAAAAAGTATGAAGAAACTGCACTTCATTTGTTTTGCCTGTTATTTCATTTGATGCTTCAATTCCTCTTACAAAGAGAAAGTTAATACATTGAAGAGGTATGTATTAAGCATAGCTAAATTGATCTTGGTTATATATCTTCCTGTAAAAAAAGTTACTAACTTATAAAACACAGTTTGTTGATACATTCTTTGTTAATTGCTACAGTAATTAGGAAGAGTTATTGAAACTTTTGATCTAATATTAAACATGCTTTTTGTGAAGGCAACATCAGATGCAGACCTGAAGGAGCACATGGTAGGGATCATTTTCAGCCGGAGCAAACTGACGAATTTGCAGAAACAGGTTTGTTCCTTTTGAAGTTATTTGAGGATTAAATATTGGTATCTTGTAATAAATAAGCTCAATTGCAGTGAATATTGCTATGAAGATTTTCACAATAATAAAGCTGTTAATTAATTTTGAAATTTTTTAGTTTAGTAAATTAAGCAGAATCTACTCTTGTCACTCATCTTAGCAAACATTATAGTCCTCTAAAAATGCTTTTTGTCGTGCTATTGTTTCCAAAACTTTTTTAAAGTTTTCTGATTAGTAAACTGAACAAGAGACTATTTTAATAAGTGCTTTTTATTTGTGTGTGTTGAGTATTTCTTAAGAAAATGTATTTCTTAAGGGGTTTATGTGGAGTGGTTTTTTTTTCAATTCAATGTAAATTCAATGTAAAAAGTAAATTAAAAGGATCTGAAATAAAATATAAAATAATTTCAATTAAATTTTCCAGAACATAGATGAGTGAATTCAGCATTTTATTCTTCATTTGAATTTATGCTAAAAAGTAATTTAAGTGCAAGCCAATTTCCACAGGTTTCCTATTTTAGCCATACTTGTGAAGGTATCTAAACCACAACATTTTGCACTTGCTGAAAGTTTTTAAGAGCTGCTGTGGTTTGGCAGGTGTGTGCCCACATCGTGCAGGCCATCCGGATGGAGGCGACGCGCGTGCGCGAGGAGTGGGAGCACGCCATCTCCAGCAAGGAGAACGCCAACTCGCAGCCCAGCGACGAGGACGCCTCCTCGGACGCCTACTGCTTCGAGCTGCTCTCCATGGTGCTGGCGCTCAGCGGCTCCAACGTGGGCCGCCAGTACCTGGCCCAGCAGCTCACTCTGCTCCAGGACCTCTTCTCCCTGCTACACACGGCTTCTCCCAGGGTGCAGAGGCAGGTCAGTGCTGACCGCGCCTCCAGTGTCTTGGTATTGCTGGAAAAGTGTCTTCAAAATACTAAAATCATGTGCTTGGAAAAATATGGCATTTCTTTTGGGAATTCAAGTGCCAGGTTTTAGGTGTTTGTTTTTTCTAATGATTGGAGCATGGTAGAAATGTCTGTCAGATGAACAGCACAGTGGTTTTTCAGTATTTCCTGTTATGTGTATATAATGCTCATGTAGCCTATGCAGGTAAGATGAGAAGGTCTTAATTGCCAGAGTCTGTTATGGACCTGGCATGAGTCCTTAGTTTCTGTGTCTTTACACTCAGGCTCTGAGTGTAGTAGTGTGGAACTAGACAGCTCCTTTCTACTCTTGGTATCCTCGAGGTGAGTTTTAATATCTGTTTCTTTCTGAATGTGAGTGTTATCTGAGGGTATATATAGTTATGTGCATATAATGCATAATATGTTAATAATATATAAACATATAAAATATTTGCATTAGTACAGTTAATGCACTGTTTTGTTACTAGGTGCTGTGCCTTCTTCAGGTGGATTTCAAGTTTCGGTTGCAGCAGTTTTTATGTTTCATACTCTTTATTCTTCCTTTTACCATTTTTGAGCTCAGCTTGCTTGCAGGCAGATTACTTAGTAGTTGTGATATATTGCAGATAGGCAATAGCTTTTCAAGAGAACATTGAGGGCTTGCAAAATTACATATGAAATGTTAAGTCCTTAAGCTTTCATCAGCTTTCATGCTGATTTGGACCAAACTTTGCATAATATGTGCAATTTCAATCCCAGCTTCACCAGTTGGTAAGATTATACCATTTCAAGACAAGTCTTGTTGGGTCCAGAGCTATTGAGACAGCAAAAAAATTCCAGTTAGACTATCAAAAGGAAAAACAAAGGCATTGGAAAAGAGTATTATAATTCTTAGTACCTCAGGCAAGTACTTTGTTTCCATTAGTCCAGCAAACAAGTTGGACTTCCACAGTAGTCTACCACAGTTTCTGACATCTCAGTAATACATATGAAGTGGGTACCATGCAAGCAAATCAAAGTTGTACAAACATCTGTATCACTCTTACCCTAAGTCCAGTACCAAACATAATTTTGTTATTATATGGAGACTAAGAATTGTTTGGGTGAGATCAGTTCTAGACTCTTTGGCCTTGTCTTGCTGTTTACATTAATAAACACTTCATCATTATATAGAAATACTGCAGAATTTCTTACTGGAGTAATTAAGTACAGCAATTAGACTGAGTCCTTCTAACTGAAATAAATTGTGAAGAAGGACTTTATGTGATTTTTCTTGAAAACTCCAGCTGTCTTGGTAAGAACTGTGGTGTTCTGCGTTTTTTTTTTCTCCAGGTAACATCATTACTGAGGCGTGTTTTGCCCGAGGTAACCCCCAGTCGCCTGGCAAGTATTATAGGGGTGAAGTCTCTTCCACCAGCAGATATAAGTGATATAATTCACTCAACAGAAAAAGGAGATTGGAACAAACTAGGTATCTTGGACATGTTTTTGGGATGCATTGCCAAAGCTCTCACTGTACAGCTAAAAGCCAAAGGAACTACTATCACAGGGACAGCTGGCACTACTGCAGGCAAAGGAGTCACTACAGTCACACTTCCAATGATCTTCAATTCCAGGTTAGTTTAAAAATATGTAACAAACTACTACAATCTACTGTATGCTGAGTATGTACACTGTTTCTTTGTGCTGGATTTTGACAAATACTAACTATTTGAGTTTATTTCATCTATTACCATTTATCCTCTGCAGCTATATTCGGCGAGGTGAAAGTCATTGGTGGATGAAGGGGTCAACGCCTACACAGATTTCAGAGATCATCATTAAGCTCATTAAAGATATGGCAGCAGTGAGTTTCTATCCTTTAAATGTGGATGATATTCAAATATTTCTAATATTTGAGTATCAATAGTAAATCTTACCTGTGAAGTAAAATAACAGCATTGTTTTCATGTAATTGTATGTAGATGTACTGTATGGATTTTCTGGTTGAGATTGACTTCTTTCAGTCACTGAAATCTACACTTGTAATTACTTATTACTTTGTTTATCTGGGCTTAAATTTTCCACAGTTCTGCTTCAGACAATTTTTGAAAGAAAAATTGAAGAAAAGTGAATCAGTTATTTCCCAGAAATAATACTGGCAAAAGAAAAAAAGGCTCTGAATGTGTTTCTGGGAAAAAAATTTAGTTAGGAGGTTGTTTTTGTTTCCCTTAATTCTGCACCTATTTCAGTGAGATGCTCTAAATGACCCAGATTTTCCTCTGTGAATACCCTTTGAAAGGTTTTTCAGTATCTTCAGAATGGAAATCCTATTTTCTAAACCATTCACTGTGCTTGGATTAAGGAGGTTCCTTTTCTCCAAAGTTGCTGAAGCTGGATGGGAGTTCTCTCTGTTCATTCTGACTGCAAGATTTTAGAATCTCATAATCGATAAGAGTTACAATTAAATTAAAGTCTGTCTGTGTTGGAAAACTTGTTTTGAAGCTTTTTTGAGCTGCTAATTATCAGTAAGGTGGCATCAGTCTAACTATTCTCTTCATAAGAGTTACAAATGTGATTCCTTTCACATAACATTTTCACTATTTGCAATGTGTATGTACCCATATCTGAGTTAGTCACTGTAGCTTCCTTTTTAGAGTCCAGTGACTCTCAATTATGTGTCACCTTCAGCATGAAGTTTAGGACTTCAGAGATTACAATAAGAATTGAAGGATGCAGTAGCCTCTGAAACAGAATCAGAAACTTGAGAGTATGAGTCAGTGCCATAGGCTCAGAATGTTAAAGATTGGAAAGTGTGCTGTGGTTCTGATATTTGCTGTGTACTCCTCTTTATTTCTTTCTAATACAGGAACTGTGGAGTCTATTCAGGAGGCTAAGCTAGGCATATGAAGCTAATTTTCTAGGAGCCCACTGTGATCTGTGTGCTGATTACAGTCATTTATCCGTGCTACAGCTCTGCATCTTTATTTCTCCAGATGGGGTGGGGAATACTTTAGGAAAAGACTTCCCATTCTTCATATCATATGCCCTCTACCTGTTCCAAGTTAATTATTCCAGTAATTGCTCAGAGACAACCTCAATCAGTCACCTCAGTATTTGAGGGCTAATTTTTACCAGATCTGTCTGATTTGAAAATCAAGGCCAGGTTGGATAGGACTTTGAGGAACTTGGTCTAGTGGAAGGTGTCCCAGCCCATGGCAAGGGGTTGGAACTAGATGATCTTGAAGAACCCTTCCAGCATAAATAGTTCTGTGAAAACACCTAATTTATCAGTCATCCCCGATTTCCTCTTTGTATGTTCTAACTTGAGATACTAACCTAATGTTTTGTAGCAGTTCTAATTACAATTTTACTTGCTCTTAATATTAATAAACCTGCAATAAATTGAGTTTCCTCTTTAACAGGGTCATCTGTCAGAAGCTTGGTCACGCGTGACAAAGAATGCTATTGCTGAAACCATCATAGCTCTGACCAAAATGGAAGAAGAGTACAGATCACCTGTGAGGTGCATTGCAACAACCAGAGTAAGAACTTCACCAAACTTAGCATTAGTTCATTGTAAATGTGCAGTAGGAGCCCATTCAAGAACCTTCTGTATGTCAGAAATACACAAGCCAAAACTGAATTAGAATTAAATGTGCATTTAGGGAATCTCAGAAATAATGAAGAATAAGTGTGATGCCTGTATATATTTGGGGGCTTACTCTTTAAATAATTCTGCTTGAAGTTTGTCACATTTGCCTTACACTAAATGTGAGATTGTCTGTGTGGAAAATTGCACAATATGTATCAGCTGTCTCTTTTAGCTCTCCAAGCAATTATAAGTGGTTTGACTTCTAGGTAACCAGTTGCCACATTTCAAGGCTATTATGAAAACACTCTAACAGATGTTCTCTAGGACAATTAAGCTAAGCTTCAGTTGTGTTTGTCTCAAAAAATATTTGCTGAGCTCTTCATTCCTGACATGGTGTAACCTGGTGGCTTTCTTTCCTTGGTGTTTACCTTGTCTGTGAATCTTTTTTAGAAACTAAGGACTACTTTAACCTTAACAGATTGCTTGAAATACCAAGAAAAGCATATTTGTAAATTATGACATTCCCGCTGTCCTAGGGAGCACAGATTTTAGCTTCTCAACCTTAATAATTACATGTAAAAAAAAAAGTGTTTATTTGCAGTGGTTTCAAGCATTTGACACTCATGTTGTTTTCCATCTTAAAAGGCTGTACCAGTTGTTCTTTTCATCATTTTTGTTATTAATATAGTCTCTGCTTTCTGGAAGTCCCAGTCTTGGATCGCCACTGGCTTCTGCTGTTGTCACATTAGTTTAATCAGGTCTTAGAGGAGCCCTGAATGTCAGCCCAGCCGCTCCTGTGACTGAGTGTAGTTCTGTCCTGGAGATGGGGGGTTTTGGGAGAGAGTTCAGTAAGGTTTTTCAACAAAAACAATTTTATTCAAATCAAATGTTTGATTAAAGATTACTCCAAAAAGCAGTTGTAAAGTGTCTCTCAGTTTTGTTTGCAGTGACACATTATCCTCATGTAGCTCATCTGTTCAGGATTTCTCTGTAGTCAGTGGACAAGAAGAGAGAAAAGCTTCCTTTGACTAATTAGCTCAGAACCCTTTTTTAGGGTTGCCAGTTGCCCTATGCAGTGAGGAGGGAACAGGAAAATCAGTCTCACTGTGCTTGAGTTTTTGGGTGGTTGTTTTTGGGGTTGATTTTATTTTTATTAGTCTGTGTCCTTGAATTTCTTCTTCCCCAAAACCTGCAATGTTTGGGTCAGTGTACAAGCCTGTATTTGTCATATTTCTTCATAATGTGCTTTGGTTGATCTTTCTTCACTTTTTTCTTTCTTGTGTGCCGACTACTGTATTTATAATCATAAAGTGACATACCTGAAAGAAACAAGGTAGTTCCCAAAAGTTAAATAAGTTTTATTGTGTTCCTGACTTATTTGGGAAAATAAACTTGCATTGTATGAGCAGGCTTCAGCTAACAATAATAGAGTTTGCAGGTAACGCTGACATTCTTACCTGACAAAGTTTATCTCTTCAGTATTTCGTTTGATTTTAATATGTCTAAGACGTTTAATTCTACTTTGCCTTTCAATAGCTGTGGTTGGCCTTGGCATCCCTCTGTGTACTTGATCAGGATCATGTTGATAGACTATCCTCAGGAAGATGGATGGGAAAGGATGGGCAACAGAAACAGATGGTGAGACTGAAAATCATACAGTTTTGTATTTATTTTGATACATTCACTCATAAAATAATTTAGAATTATGATATAGAATGGTAAAATTGGCCTTTCTTCCTTTTCTTCTGTCCCAGTGGGGATTGTATATATGTTTGAAGTATTTGCGTTCTAGATAAGTATTGCTCAGAAAACAGAAATTCCAACTTAAAACAGTACTGTTGCAGTCCTGTCAGTTCAGGATGAAACAAGGCCTTGCTCACACCTGTGGCATGAGTAGATTTTTTAGTAGATTGACTCAGTTTGTACAGCACCCTCTATCAGAGCTTTTTCTTTCTGTCTTAATCCCTGTCACGAAGTAAAATCGATTCTTTTGTGTTACTCAGTAACTACTTCTCTGTAATTTAGCTTCCTCTTCCCCATCTCACTAGAGAATGATTACCCCAGGAAGAAACTCCTTCTAACTGAATTTAGCAAAACTACCATTGACTCAGAGGATTTATAAATTTGATATGGAATATGATTGTCTCCATACTTTTCAGTTGACAAAATGCCTGTAATTTTCCGTATGACAAAAAGGTTGTGATTTTTTAATACCATTTTAGAAAGAGCACAGTAATGGAGCTGGTCTCTGTAAATTTTGGTTAGGTGGATCCCTGTGGGAAGCAAGGGAAGGGTGTGCAATACCAACCAAGCATGGTTAGAGCAAAGAAGATCCAAAGCAGTTTAGTGTAGGTAGAAACAGAATACAGGAGGCATAGAGCTGCAGCAGCAGCAGGAATAAAACTCTGCTGAGATGGAAGCAAACAGAAATTTCAGAGGTGATTAAGTCAAAGGTCTTGCAGATGTCAGAGGAGCATCCAAGACATTAAGCAGGTATTCAAGCTGCTGAACCCAGCCTGAAATTCCCCAGTCCTGCTGTTCCACATAAGGATAATCAAATGTTGAGGTGAACTGTGTGTCTCCCTACCAGAACTGCTTCGAGAGAACTCTGTTCTCAGTTGCCTGAGAGTATCATGGAAAGCATGTGTTACAATGGACCATGTATTACAATGGAAACTTGTTCTCAGAGATGTGCACAGTCATAATCAGTTGTTGAAGTCTTTCTGTCGGGATATTTTGAATTGCAAAACAGAACCCTACTGAATTAAAAAAAAAAATATATCAGTAGAGCAGCTTAATTTTATGACGGATTTTTGTTACTTCAACCATACTGTCTCTGAGGTATGGATGACCTACAGCTTTGTTTAGATGTTTGAAAAGAGTAAACATACCATCTCAAAGTAATTAAGGGTAAATATGGTGCCTGTTGACTGACCTGAATACTCATATCTCTGAACTTTTCTGTTAACATGCCCATAACCCCTTATTACCACATAAACCTCTTCTCAGACTAGTTGATAACTCAGCTGTATTGTTGAAAGACGCATTTTTGGTGCATCACCCAAAATACAAGATGAAGAGTATCACAAAAACTCATGTCAGAAATTGAGGGAATTTGTGTCAAGGAACAATTGTTTAAATACTGAGTATTTTAAAGATAGCATTAATAGTCCAAACAAGGTCTTTACCCACTCTTGTAATTGGAGGGGAGATGTGAGGTGTGTGACTGAGGGGAGAATAAAAACAGATGCTGAAAGGAAGTGAAGGACTTAATAAAAAGGAGTTATTTATTCTTTTTTTTTTTCCTCTCAGCCAATGTGTGATAACCATGATGATGGTGAAACTGCTGCAATCATTTTATGTAATGTCTGTGGGAATTTGTGCACAGACTGTGACCGATTCCTTCATCTCCATCGGCGAACAAAAACTCACCAGAGACAGGTAGAGTATACATGGCCCCCTGTTGTGTGCACTGCATCATGGTGTGCATATTTATATAAATAAAATATAACCAAAAGGTAGCAGGAAATACTGAATCTGAAAAGGTTGTTTTATTTTATTTTTGAGATGGGATAGATGTGTTTCCAGTTAACTCTCCTCAGTTGTTTTTGGATACATTCTCGTGTCCTTTGTCTTTTACAAAGATTAGAAAATCTTGCAGCAGTTCCTAATTCTAGTTCTTATGCTACATCAGCTTTTTCTCTCTTGTTTTTCTCTCTTGCTTAGAATGCTTTTTTAGGAGAATTTAGAAGCTGCACAGACTTTCTTAAGTATATGTCAGTTCTTTATTCCTCTTAAATTTTATCTTTACTACTTCTGTCATAGGAGTTAGTGCTTGTCAACCCCTTTATTTCTAATGTATGTGCATTCCTTTTTAATATCCAGGAAGATGATTTGACAGCAAATATTTCTACTGGTTCCCCTAAGAGTTTTCTCTTCTTTTTCATTATTCCTCTAGCTTTCACTGTGTTTTCACATATAAATATGTTGCTCTATCCATAAGCTTGAAAATTTCCTGACTTCTTTTGGATTTGTTTTTAGGATTGAAACTTTGACTAGAGATGAGTTTTTATAACTTGCTGTGTACTCTGCTAATTATTATTCTTTTGTGGTATTCTTTTATCCTTTTCATCTCTAAATTTTGAAACTATATTTTCTTTGGATTTTTTCTTTTTGTCATTGAAATGAATGTTGAACATGCCTTTACTTCTGCAATTATTGAACATTTCCTCTTTCCTGCCACTGTTTCTCATTTATTATATGTTGTGATCCTTTATTTTCCCTTTTCCCTCTGACTACTTATATTTGTACAAGGATTAAAATAATAAATGTCATTAGTAAATGACAAATATAATCAAATACTTCACTGAAACTCAGTCCTCTTCTCCCTCTCCTACAATGCATCTATGTTCAGGAATGGACTTATAAAGGAGATGATGGTGTCTCCTTAAAGTACAATGTTTTCTCTTATTGAACAGCCTTGGAGTGCGTGAACGGGATTGTTTTTGGTTGCTTTTAGGTGAAACTAAATGCAAATCAAAAGATAGATGCAGAGACACGCTGCTAATGGCCATTCAGTGCAAGGGATAAGCTGTTCTAGAGCACTTGTGATGTAAACATCAGACCTTTGGTACTGAGTTTCACTCTCCAGTGAAACACTCCTCTCTGCTGCCACAGCATTTGCAGTGTAGTCTCAGCCTGGCACTGCCATGTGTGTCTATTATCTTCTATTTCTTAGCCAGTCTTTGCAATCCCCTTTTTTTAAATTTTCCTGTTTCATTGTCCTAAGATTATTTTATGTCTACTCTTCTGTCATGCCACAGCACAGTCTAGTCTCATTCATTTTTCTCATTTTTCCTATATAGCCTGTTCAGATTACAGTTGATAAAAAGTAAGTTCTTATCTCATAGAAAACCTCACATTTTTCCTTTTATCTGTCCAAAATAGCTACTTACCAGATTTTCCTGTTTACTTCTAAAAGCATGTTTAAATTTTTGCTCGTTATTCACCACTTTTACCTTTACATCTCACGTATTAAGCCTCTCAAATTCAATTTCAATTCTGTCATGTTCCCTCTGTCCTGTTTTCTGTTTACTTCCTGTTCTTGGTCCAACTTCAGTCATGCATACCTCTTTAATGTATTTTCTCGCCCCTCTAGAAAGGACAGCCTGTAAGTTATTCAGATGTGCTTATGTGAATACTTTGTGAAGCAGCTAGGGATTTTTTTTCTGATTCTAGTAAAAATTAAAGTGAGCTGTATACATCCATACCTGGGAAAATTCTAACTTTCCTTGCATTACAGGTGAAACAAATGCAAACAGAACTGCCTTCAAAGCTTGGGAAAGGAGCAAAAGAAGAGACTGCATGAAATTCCCTAAGGATCTCTTGCAGTTTTTTTATTTTGCAAAAACTTTATATTTTCCTCATTGTAGCCAAAAATATCCGCTGTGTATTTATATGAAAGTCAAAAATATTAATATTACACACTTCGATAATTGTTACTCTGTAGTACTTGTTATTAAGACCTCAATTCTCAGTGTTGCTTTGATAAGCTACTAGCATGGTTATGTGAAGATATTTCTGATGTTATATTGTGCTTTTAATATTCTGTGCCTGCTGGATATGTTGTGTAGGAATTTGAAGTCCAAGGTGTGTATTTATTAAATCAGAAAAAAATGTGCAGCTCTATTCTTAGCATTGCTGCACTATGTTTCTCCGCCATGTTAGATCGAGTTAATTTTATTAATTTTTACTTCTAAAAACATGAAACCTTCATCCTGCATATCTGCAATATGTACCAGTTATAGAACATGTAAAAGAAAAACAGCTTTCAGTAGACAATCTCACAGAATCTATAAAATGCCTGGTATAAATCCAAAGAGGAATAACAGAGACAGGTTCATGCTCTAATTAAACATGCTGTTTAACTTGACAGGTGTTCAAAGAAGAAGAAGAAGCTATCAAAGTTGATCTCCATGAGGGCTGTGGTAGGACCAAACTTTTCTGGCTGATGGCATTAGCAGATTCAAAAACTATGAAGGCTATGGTGGAGTTTAGAGAACAGACAGGTAAAACACAACTGTTACTACTTGCTCTTGATCCTGCTTATTGTGATTTTCACCTGCTTTAGGGCAATGCTTTTAAATATTTGTTAATAAAAGTAGAATAGTTTAGCTGCATAAGAATTGTTGGCTTTCTGGTTGTTTTCTGTGAATGCTGCTTTGATGTCTGATAGAGTATCAGTCCCTTGTGTTTCATGAGATCATTTTTGGCCTTGTTGTCTCCTGTGCCGTAGGCAAACCGACCACCAGCAGTTGTGAAGCATGTCGGTTCTGTGGATGTAGGAGTGGAACAGAATTATCAGCAGTGGGAAGTGTTTGTTCTGATACGGACTGCCAGGTGTGTATTAGCAAGTATCAAGCATCATTAATTAGGTAAATAGAAGAGATCATAGTTTGAAATGGGCTTCTTATTTTGAACAAACCTTGTTTATCCCTGTGGTCCATTTTAAATCAGATCTGTCCTATGAAAAGATTCTAATATTGAATATCACCATTCAAATACTTCTGAGTTTGTAAATGTTTATTTTAATTACAGACTGTGAACACTAATAGTCAACTTAGGTACTGGGTAGTTTCATTATTATCTGCAGAGTAATTCTTAAGTTTTCACAAGTCTATTGTCTACCTCAACTTTTCACAACAGCCTTGCAATTATAAAGTAAAACACACACTGTCGGTATAAAGTCAAATGTACTGGAAAGCTCGATAAAAAGTTTGCTCAAGAGCCTGTGTATTATGTGAGTGTAGAACATTTAAGACTTGGCCAGGTTTATCATCTGTAGCCACGTATCCTGAGTGTTTCTGTGCCCTACACTGGGTGCAATTGGCAGAGGGCCCAAATCATAACCAGTTTCTTACTTTGCCTTACTTATTTCTGTCTAAGTGAAGGAAATTGGTCATCTTTTTTTCTCTGTCAGCCTATGAGGACCTAATACAGTTCATTAATGAACAGTTAAGTAACAGTTCATTACAGTTATAAATTCAGTTCAATTTGTTGCTAGCTTCTGGGTAATGTCTGTAGATTTTCTGTTTAGTAGGGATGGGAATTAGAAGTGGTTAAAAATCCATATCCATGTAAAATCACTTTGTGCTGATTAATGATTAGCTTATAATGTATTCTTAAGGGTGAGTTACTTGAAGCTTCTCCAAAATCTACAGGTACCTTAAAGGCTGTTAATACAGGGTCAGCAATGTTTATGCAGGAAGCACTCAATATATAAGAAGCACACAAAGAAAAAGAGGATCAAAGAACAGTTCTCTTTCTATTGAAAGTTTTAAATTATGGTTTCATTAAGCCGTTTGCATTCAGGAGCAGTGCAGGTAAACAAAGGAGACATTGTTATTTCAAGTACACGACGTTCAGCTTGTCCCAAGTACCTGAGGCAGCAGCAGACAATACAAACCATGATTCTTCCATTTCAGTTTATTGCACGGACCAGCAGTCCTTCAAAAAGCGACACTGTCAGAACACTCAGTGAAGGGGAAGAGATGATTAACTCTCTACTTTATATTTGTTTAGGAGTATGCTAAGATTGCCTGCAGCAAGACACACCCCTGCGGTCACCCCTGCGGAGGTGTTAAGAACGAAGAGCACTGTTTGCCGTGCCTGCATGGCTGCGATAAAAACGCTACAACTCTGAAACAAGATGCTGATGACATGTGCATGATCTGCTTTACTGAAGCACTTTCAGCAGCACCAGCTATCCAGGTTTTTTGTTTGTTTGTTGTGTTCCCCTTTTAAGAGATTAGTATTATGATTGTAATGTGTACTATGAAGGAAGTGAAAATATAAAGTCTTTCAAATTACGCTTTTCAAAATTTGAAAACAGACACTGTAACAATAGTTAAGCTACTCAAAAAGTTTTCTTTTTGTCTGGCATTCTGTTTCAAGAAAGCAGATTGGATCAATTCAGTTTGCTATGTCTACTTTATTAAATACATGGTATTCTATAAAGGAGTAAAACAACTGAGGTAATTAGTTTAAATAATGCACATTTATTTCATACATCCATATGTGATCTTGGTGTGGTTATGATTTTAATGCCCATTTTATGTTCTTTTGTGTTGTTAAGAAGAAAATAGGGATCTTCTAGGGTTGCAAATAAATTAGTACTGGAATTGATATATGTTGCCGTGTTGCCACTTAAAAGCAAATAACTGCTTCTACTTTAGTGGTTAATGTAACTTCAATATTCACTTACACTTAACTCTTTTCTAAAGCTGGACTGCAGCCATGTTTTCCATTTGCAATGCTGTCAGCGAGTACTAGAAAACAGATGGCTTGGCCCAAGGATTACTTTCGGGTTTATGTCCTGCCCAATTTGCAAGGTAAATGAGCTGTTTGCCTGCCAAAGTCAGAAAACTTACCTGATACTTTCCTTTTCATTTTTTTTCTTTTTTCTTTTTTTTGTTAATACTGTATTGCTTGGTACAGTGTAAATGAGTTATACGTGACTTGTTTTCTTAAGTCCACATGTCGCTATAGAAAGACTAGCATTGATGCATCTTTTTACTTTCTCCTACTGTTCCCTGAGGTGTCCTCTTAAAAAGAAAGCATAGTCCAGACATTGTCTTAATATTGTTTCATTCTTACCAACATCAGCTTGCGAATTCCCAGTATTTGGTGATAGCGGGGAGGGGAAGAAGTAATCTTAAAGCACACTATTTTGAAGCAGGAATTCTCTATTCTTCTATTTTACTAACCACTTTTAAAGCTGCTTTGCTTTTCAGTGTGAGGGCAGAGCCAAAGAATACATGTACTTAGTTCAGCTAAGTTACTAACAATTCCTCTTGAACTCTATAAAATTTAAATTGCTGTAAGCAAAAGCACATAATAGCCAATGGAAAGAAGAGCACCTTACCCCACCCTAGGAAGTTGAAATTTGGGAATGGTCAGCTGTTCTGCATGCTTGTGGTTCTTCTGTCATGTGTTGTGGTAATTAATGGCAGTGGCTTGTGGTCACTAATTGATAAAGAGCTGCCATAGAGGACTGTCAGTCATTATGCTTACTTGCTGAGCAAAAGGACCAAAATTACAGAAATATTCCTGTGCTGTGGTGAATATTTCATAAACTCTTCACCACCTCCCTGGCTGTTAGTCTGTTGGAAGGGTTGATGCTCCCATATCACAACAGGCCATAGAAAAAGCCTTCATGGATACCATTTTTACAGCAAATAGAGTGCATTCTCTATCAGCCGTTTTTTGAAATGTCCATTGCCCAGGCCTGTATGTTTTTATGACATCTATCATGCTATTTGTGCCTGACTATAACACAAATAATCATAGCTGTTGGCATAAAGATGCACGATACTTTAATCAGCTTTTTTTTTTTTTATTTCAGAACAAAATCAATCACACAGTATTAAAGGATTTGCTTGATCCAATCAAAGAACTCTATGAAGATGTAAGGAGAAAAGCACTAATGAGATTGGAGTATGAAGGGCTGCACAAGAGTGAGGCCATCACAACGCCAGGTGTTAGATTTTATAATGACCCAGCTGGCTATGCTATGAACAGATATGCTTATTACGTTTGCTACAAGTGCAAAAAGGTATGGTGGTATTTACTAAATGGATGTTACCATTTCACAAGTAATTTCTTAAAACAGAACATATGTTTAATACATTGTGTATGCAGCAGAAAGGCCGGAAAAGATGTCGTTTATAGAATCATAATTTAAAAAATTGAGTGTTGGGCTAATGAGATGTAAATAGTATCTTAGCTAGTAAAGCTCAAGCATGTATACAGAGCAGCTCAGAAACCAAAAGCACCTCGAGTCAATGGCCACTTACAAGAAGGTGCAGTACCTACTTGCTCCGGTACCTATTCACCTCAAGCTGCTACTTAATGCTGACATAGGGTTCATAGAGCATCCAAATGCTGTTCCAAAAGCCTTAGAGTCCCTGGCATAGAGCAGGGTATATTGCAGTTTTTGGTCTTGTTCATCCTGAGACTGAGGGACATTCCGAGTGCCTCAAGACCACGTACCTGCAGAGTTAAGAGAGCTCAGAAGAGTGGAGGCCACTGAAATGGTAGTCATTTGTCGTATTCCCCTTACAAATGGAATTGCTTAAACTGAAAAGAATTGTTAAAAGAACAATTGTCTCTGATTTAACATCCAATCATTTCTATATGCAATTAAGGCATATTTTGGTGGTGAAGCTCGTTGTGATGCTGAGGCTGGACAAGGAGATGATTATGATCCAAGAGAACTTATTTGTGGTGCCTGCTCTGATGTTTCAAGGGCTCAGGTAAGTAAATGTTTTCTATTCATATTTTTATTTCATTCTGAAACTCTGAGTACCTGAGCTGTACAATAATTCACAGTCATTCATAATTACATGTATTTTACAATATTGTATACCATTATTGTTTTCTACAGAAGGTAGAAGTGAGTTGTTGGGATTGTTAAACATGGCTACTTCACTGACTGGTGTTTGCTTTCCTTTGTTCAGATGTGTCCCAAACACGGTACGGATTTCTTAGAGTACAAATGCCGCTACTGCTGTTCAGTTGCTGTTTTTTTCTGTTTCGGGACAACGCATTTTTGCAATGCTTGCCATGATGATTTCCAAAGAATGACAAGCATCCCTAAAGAAGAGCTCCCACACTGTCCTGCAGGTAGGACTTTGACAAAGCAAATTTACCACACTAAATTCTGAAATAAATTATAAGGTCTAATTGATATTAGCTCTTCTTGGTGGTATTTTCTTGGTTTTCTGGCAATGTCATTGCACTGATCATGTAAACATTAGGAACTTTGATAGAGAAAGACATTTCAATTTCCCTCTATCAGGTCAGATTCCAGATGTAGAATGATGTGTAAAATGGAATATTGATAAAATTAACGCATTATTAAGTGATGTATGTGTAGTTAGGTAGCCATTATCTGCAAAATGTTGCCCCAATGCCTTAATTACTAAGTTCATTTGCTGTATATTGATTTTATATTCATAAATGATTGGGGGTTAAAAGTGCAATTTTTTTCATTAAAATATTTACATAAAATAAGTAAACAAATAAATTAGGACTCCTGCTATAACCTTAGAATTGTTTACTGCAGAACGTAGCCCTTGCACATTATTCAGTTCTTTTCTTAGCTTGTGAAAATTTCTTCCACAATATTAATGAGATAAAACTTCCTTAAGTGACTGTCTGTAAGCATCTTGCCTTTTTTAATTTGAATTTGACTGGTTTCAATTACATGGTAGTTTGATCTATTTTTTTGCTCTTCAAATACCAATTCAACATTTGAACAAGATGAATCACCTTCACTTAGTTTGGGGTTTTTTTGAGGAAATGTAATATATGTTTGTTTACATTGTCTGCAAGCATTAATCTAGTCTATTCTTCTTTTCCTTTAACCTAACATTCACTGTAGGTCCCAAAGGTAAACAACTTGAAGGAACAGAATGTCCACTTCATGTTGTCCATCCACCCACTGGTGAAGAATTTGCTCTGGGTTGTGGGGTTTGCAGAAATGCACACACTTTTTAGAATAGCATTTTTTTTAACCAGAGCAGAACAGGTGCCCTCATCCCTCAAGTGTCCTGAAAACAAAGTCCATCTGGGATGAGGATGGGACCATTCCATAACCCAGGTAAAAGGAACAATTTACAGTGCAAGAAGGATGCCAAATACCATGTACATAATTCTTGCTGTGAGATATTGACATTTTTTGAACCGAGACATCAAAATTTGTGAGGTGTTTGCATGTGGCCATTACAGTCATCGGCTAGGAAACATTGGACATTTACAAATAAACAATTGTTATTAAAGGATCTGTGTGTCTGTGGACTATGAATGATGCTGGCTTTCAGATGAAAGAAAAAAATATTGATTATTGTATACTGACTTTTTGTAATCTTGTACAATTGTAACGCATCACAAGTGGGGATGGGAAAGAGGAATATTCTGGTTTATTTCCTAGACTGTTATAAAAAAATGTGTTAGGAAGGCATAAATGTAACAAGTATCACCCTGTATATAAAGGTATCAATGTTTGTCCTGTATAAGAAATATTAAATTACAACAGCAGTTTCATTTAAACTTCTGGGTTATGTTTGAGCCTGAAATTTTAATGAAGTGCAATACTGAGTGTGCCTCATATCTTGCAGCTGTAAACATAATGGAATGTACATGTCAATAAAGCCACTGTACATTTTTATACAGTGAAAGTCTAACAAATGTGTAAGCCTCCATTTTCAGAAGCACTCTTAAAACAGAGTGGGGGAGTGGGGAGGGAAGGGGAAGAAGAGAGGTGTCCTATAATTATGTCAGCAGACTCTTGAAAAGTAGGAAAGTTTTTGGGTAAACTGGTGGTTATGGAAGTACTTAAGACGTGAAAAGCACGACTCCATTTCTCAACAGAAAAGTTGGATAAATGTTCTAGCATGCATGTAGAATTGTATTGCCATTTCAATTACCAACAGTGTTTTAAAACACAAAAGAAGACTGCATTTAAATTATTTTTGATCAGTTTTATTTTACTGAAGACTCCTAATATTTTAGAACAGTTTAAGACTCCCACTTTTAGGACAAACAGCTTTTTGAATTTCAAAATGTTCATTTTATAAGAGTCCTAAGTCCTCTGCACCTGCATAATGAATGCAGAATATAACTTCAAGTGAAAACTTCTATTTGTTAAGATTTTCTCTTTGGATTTTTTTTCGTAGATGTGTTCAACTCCCTTTCTAACATTTCTGTCTTGAACCTGATGAAAAGTGTGTTACTGCCTTTTACATTTAAGATATTGGTAGATGGCCTCCACACCAGACAATCTTGATAAGATTGGAACCGTGGGATCCATCTTGCCTAACTTCAGACATCTGGAATCAGAGAATCACAGAAAGGTTGGCGTTGGAAGAGACTTCTGGAGATCATATTGTCCAACGCCCCTGCTAAAACAGGTTCACCTAGAGCAGCATATATACCTGCACTTTGAAATAGTTCTGCCTAGTTCACACCCCTGTGAGGTACAATTGATCTTATTTGCTCTGCCGAGGGATCGGGACAAGCTTGGATCAGTGGGCCGAGGCCAGTTGTGTGAAGTTCAACAAGGCCAAGTGCTGGATTCTGCACTTGGGTCACAGCAACCCCATGCCGTGCCACAGGCTGGGGGAAGGGCTGGAAAGCTGCCCAGCAGCAAAGGACCTGGGGGTGCTGGTCAACAGCACCTGAACATGAGCCAGCAGGGTGCCCAGGTGGCCAAGAGAGCCAATGGCCTCTGACCTGTGTCAAAAACGGTGTGGCCAGCAGGGCCAGGGAAGTGATTGTCCCTGTATTGGGTATCTGACCCACTGTCATTTTTAGAAAATCAAGAGTGTAGCACCATCTATTTTGTTTCAGCTTCCTCTTTAATTTCAGATTAATATGAGTGTTAATTTAGGAAATTAAGATTATGGTGTGGACATAGCTGACCATCCCCTATCACCACTCCAGGGAGGCAGCACAGCCACGTGTGAACATCAGGCTCTTGCACAGAGCTCAACTCCTCACGTAATGGTTGAACCTTGGGCACGCTGCTCCCACAGTCTCAGACATTCACGTCACCGCATCCCCCCACGCCGATCTCTGCCGGTGATTATAGCAGATGCCGGCACAGGCTGCTAATCAGATCAGTCCACAATAAGATTGCTGTATGCCTTTGCAGCAGTCTCACATGTTTTTCTGTCAGCTGTTGATCCACTGCCCACGCAATGGAAATAGTCAGTTCTTGTTTGTACCATGCTGTTTGCCACAGCCCACCACACTCAGCTAATTTATACCAAACTCAGCTTCTGGCCAAGGCGAGGCCTCAGTGCTCACACTTGGGTTGTTAGTTTAAAAATAGCTTAAACTTTTATGGGTGTATCCACCCATTGAACACAATGTGAACAATAAAAGTTAATAAGATACAGCTAATTAACATGTCATCATCAGGGCCAAATAAACTTGGTCCTTACAAAACAGGTTTTGCTAATTCCATCATGCTTCTAGGTTCATGTTTCACCTAGACAGAGGATTAGCTAGGGAGTTGCAGGCCCACCCAGCCATTCAGGATAGAGCTCAAACTTTGTGGGGCTTTTCCTCAGCGCTCTTTAAGCCACGCCACACACTGCAGGTGCCAGAGTGCAGTGGTTGTAGGGCAGATGCTTGTCCCTCAGCCCAAGGTGCACTGAAGGGCTGTGCTGTCACAGCCCCCACTCTCACCGATGGGGTGTGGTAGTGAGCTTGTGCTGCCCAACATTCCAGGATCTGGCTCCTCACCAGGCATTCCTACAAAGATGCAGTCAAATACAGAACAACACACTGATTACACAGCAGCCAGATGCAATGGGGACTGCAATTATTATTGATAATCACCCTGCCAGCTGGTCCAGGGAGTTTTCTCAGGTAATACCCACCACTGCAGTCTCTTGGGATTCAGGAGATGCTCTCTGCTCTTGCCTCAGTGTTACATGTAGGCTGTGGCTGCTCATTTAAATACAATCTCTTTGGATGTACCAAGTTTCTGTGTACCTGAAAGGGGATTTGAACACTGAAACCTTGGATGGGTACTTGAGACAGTGCTTTGGGTCATCCACTGAGCAGTACACAGTGTCCTTTGCTATTGCCATCCATAGCATTGCTTCTATACTCCCACTCATTTCTGCATCCCAAGTGATTCAAGTATCCTTAGCCCATGTTAGGTCTCAGCTAATCTAGTATTTCCACCTCCCTGTCTGTTCATTCAGTAATATTCCTTTCCTGAATGTGACTCTGTCATCATAACACATCCTCCCCTGCAGAGTTTAACTTTTCTGCTCACTCAGCTGTCCTGGAGAGCGTTCCCATTCCACCCAGCCCCATTCCTAGGTCTCACCTCTGCCATGTACTCTGCCAGAACAGCCATTAGAGGAAGGAAGGAGGGCATTGAGTATGCTGGCACACAAAGGGAATGCATACTTCACTGTGGCCATGTGGGCAGCAGTGTCACATCACTTTAAGCTAGAGATTCAGGTGGTTTCGTGTGAATGGGGTATGATCTCACCATCCTAATGCCAATTCCTAGCAAAGATACTTAGAAACCTGGCTGGTGGACCTGAACAACAGCTTTTTAAAAGCATTTGCCCGAGGGCAGGTTGTATCAGTGGACTCTCACAGAGCAGTAATTGCAATGGGATGATCCAAGCTACAGGCTAAACACAGCTCTCCACAGATTTTGCTCTAATGGACATAACACGTGTAAGATGATACGCTGGGTTTGTATCCATCTCTGTCTCCCTTTTCTCCAATACAAACAGAATTTGAGCAACAACATTCCAGTTGTTACTCATAAGACAGTCGTCTCTATTTCTACATCTTTGGCTTTTTCCATACTCCTAGTGGGTTGTGGAATGGCCTAGGTTCATAAATCTTTATTTCCCTCTTGACGGAGGCTGGGCACAACTATGTACCTCCCACCAAGCAAATCCTAAATTTTGGCACACCCCGAGTGCCTTACTGATGGCTGAATTTGACCTTTCCCATGAATAGGTGCCCACAGGCAGGACTTTGGATCTGTTCATCCAACACTCATACAATCAAGGAACTGGTGAATAACTTCTGGGTTTTGCCTGCAGTGCTAGGATACAAGACTTAGAAACAAACCATGTTTGAAAAACAGCTTTAGGGTGCCCTTGCAGGACACATTTCACATCACACATAAGGTACCCTCCTTCCATGCCTTGGTACCAAGGCCAATCCTAAAACAAATGCCAGCCCCCCTTAGCAATTAGTCTGGGAATTTTTACTGCTGTGTCTTTCTGATCATATTAACTCCTCACCCACTGGACACATAAGGTACCCTCCTTCCATGCCTTGGTACCAAGGCCAATCCTAATACAAATGCCAGCCCCCCTTAGCAATAAGTCTGTTTGGGAATTTTTACTACTGTGGCTTGCTGATCATATTAACTCCTCACCCACTGTCAGAGTCAATGGAACTGATTTGCAAGGAGCTACACAAAGCACAGAGAAAATCCCTGTAAATCAAATAACTCCTCTAGCAGGATGCTGTCAGACCAACCTACCAATGAGCTGGCACTGCCTTTTCCAGCATCATCGCTCTGTCCATGGATCAGCCATGGCAAAGATGAGGTGCTGTCTGTGCTGCAGGGCACAGCTCAGCCCACTCTGCCCGTTTGTACGCAGCCCTAGCCAAGGCCATGCCACGAGACTCCCCTGTCAGAGGGGCTCCAGCAAACAAGCTTTCACTGTATTACCTAACAAAATAGAGTGGTACAACAGCTTTTAGCCACGAAGCAACCATGGGAGCCATTCATCTGGAAAGAATTACTAGATCCTCTAGAGACAGAAACAATATTTAGACAGCGAGGAACCTTTAAAAAGAATTATCTCCAGCTTCTACTGAACCATGAGCAACAACACCAGGTAATCAGCCTGTTCTATCCTGCTGTTGCTCATCCTTAATTTTATCTTTGTATTTTTCTGTGGCCATGAGGCCTTAAATTGAGGCCTGCTGCTTTAAAGACCATTTTATTTGCAGCTACTGTTTAAAAAAAAAAAAAAAAAAAAAAAAAAGAAAAGTTGAGTTACAGCTTCTATTCTGTAAGGTCTTAAAAAAAAAAAAAAAAAAAAAAAAAAAAAAAAGTTGAGTTACAGCTTCTGTTCTGTAAGGTCTTTTTAGCAGTCCATAATACCACATTCTAACAGTATAAGAAAGTCCCTCACCACAGAAAATCTTCCTGTATAGACATGTTGAGAAAATAAAACCAGGAAGTTTCCCTAACGATATCCATTACTGAAAAAACATTCACTTCTTTTGGCATTGATAATTAATAGGTTCAGCTTTCCTCTGTATTTTCTTTTTCAGCACAATCTACTGAGAATTAAGATTGTCACAGACATTCTAGACCAGGTCTTTCGGCCACTACTCATCACATTAATAGTCTCCATATTTTTCAGAACTTCTATTTTCATTCAATCAGAGCTACTCATGCCCTGCAAGCCTGACATACTTTCATCATAGCTGGATCTGGTCTGCTATGGTTACTTAACTCTCTTCCAACTGCTACTGTGATTTTCCCCGCTGGATTCTTATCCTAGCCAAATACAAGCCAGGCTTATCAGGGTGGAGCACAGCTCCTTGCTTCAGGAATGCTTCAGAGCTACTTGAATATGGCCAGAAAATCAGCACAGTAGACTCTCAGTGCTAAAAGGTGCAGCATTTATACTCACGACCTGGCTTTTTGTTGTGGTTTCATCAGGCAGGCAGTCTGCCGGCTGAAATGAGGTGTTCTGTACAACCTCAGCCTGAGGTGGTGGGATCCCCTGTTAGACACCGAGATTTTACTGGCTATGTCTTGGGTTTTATGCCTGTGGGCTGTTCCTCATATTCACATGGTGACAGCGAGGGCTGCTTCACATCTCTAAGTGAGTAACTCTCCCATCAGAAAAACTGAAACTGCAGGGAGCTTCTCGTCTCTTTTTGAAAAATAAAAAGTTACAATGCAGTTTCCTCAATAGTCTCATTTTTGCATAGCAGGGCTCAGCATAGGCCATGGCCAATTTCTGTTACTACTAAAAGCATGCAGCAAAAAAAAAAAAAAAAATTAAATATTCCTCTCTCAAAACCCCATCTGCTGTTAGTTAAGTGATTAGTGTAAGGTGGGGAGACTACTGAATGCAGACACACCTGACAGGGGTGTCCAAGCTCCTGACTAAAGCTCCAAAGTGCCCAGCCACCACTGGCAACAACATGGCAACAACACAGACCAGCCCAGACCTGTGAATGTTCTTTGAACCTTTACTGCTTGGCCCCTTCTTACCCTGCTGCCACCTATCTCAGTGCCAGCTCCTGAGTCCAGGAGCTCTGCCGGGCTTTGTCTGCCAGCTAAACCAGAGCCAGCCCTGGGGGCTCACCAGGAGCCCACACCACCAGCTGCCCGCAGGTTTTCTTTCATTCAGCTCTGATAAACTGCCCGGTTCTTGTGCTTTGCTCACAGACACCGCAGATATTTTTGTCAGTGCTCTGCACCATGTCCAGGGCCTGGGTTGGCCCCAAGGACAGAGCTGCAGCTGCCTTGCTGATTTTAGCTGCTATGTCCCCAAAGAGTGTCATGCTGGGAGTGCTTTCTGCACTTGTTCTGCTCTCCTACACACACAAAGGGTGCCTAAAACTTACACAAGCGGCTACAACAAAGCAAAGAAGGGCACAGGCAGTGAGCCAAACTTTGTTTACTCCAAAGATAAGGCAGCAAATTGTAACTGCTCGGCACTGTAAGAAGTCCCTCCCAGTAAGTCAATACAGTGAAACTCAGATAATGCAAGGGTTTTAAAGTAGTGTTACCTTAAAAATAATGAAATTGCAACTGTTACATCTTCCAAGACTTCTACACAAACTAAGAAAATATTTGTTTTGGTCAAAAGATGTTTTGGTGGGGGTTTTTTTGTTTGTTTGTTTGTTTTTTTCCTGCAGACACCAGAACTTGATCAGAGCATAAATCTTGATGAAAATATATTTTTACTGACTTCACAAGACATGGCCCAGATACACTACATCATAAAGCACACAGTGCTGCCTTAAAACACTAAGAGAAGTGACCAGGAGAAGCAGCAGCTGCTTGCTCCGTATTTGTTGATAAAAAATAGATCCTTCTCCCCACAGTCTGGGCCCAGGTCTAGTTCCAACCTTTGCAGTCAGTCTGACTTTTTCTCCCACATCTCCAGCAGTTTGCAAGTTACATACTTGCAAATATGACCTGTCTTTACCAGAAACTGTAATTGGGGGCTGTTTTCTTCCCACCATTAGAAACTCTGACCTGGATCACAAGGGCTGAAAAGGGAATTCCTAAGCAGTGGGAATGAAAGATAGAACATTTCCAGATGGGGACAGCAAAACAGTTATTGCAGGTTTCTTGACAGTATTGGCTTCCTTCAAAAACACATCTCATTACCTACCAAGGTTTATACAGCTGTCTCCTATACAGTCACATATTTGCTATTACAAGGTTGTCTAAGATACTCATTAATCTGCTCAAGGTAAGGTGATAACTCACTTCTTATTTCCAGATTTTTGTTGCATTTCCTGAAAAGCTAAAGACTGGATGTATATTCATAAATACACATGGAATTGTAATGGCTGAGCTTTAGTAAACAGCTCAAGACATTCTGAAATGGAGAAAAAGAGATTATTTTCTCACAGAAACTCAAAATAAAAATTTATGTTTCTCACTGAAAAATAATTCTTTTTCTGGACAAGTCTTTTTTTCCCCCCCCCCCCCCCCCCCCCACTAATAATCTCAAGGAACTAAACTTAAAAAAAAAAAATTAACTGACTTAAAGTATGCAAGGAAATGTATTTTTATAAAGTGCTTCTTAAAGATCTCAGGGATGCTGACATTTGAGAGTGACCACTGAAGAATGTTTCAAAGCCATTTCAAGACTGGGGTGAGCACAGGATCACAAGGGCTTTTTCCAAGAAACTAAATGACAAGAATTTGGATTACAACAATTTGAGCAGTAATTTATTTACTATAGCTTGCAATACATTAATAATTAAGTTTTGTGAATCTCAACAACTGTAAAGAGTTTGGACACATACAGGGCTGAATAATGAGGTCTATTGGAGTGTACCACATGCACAAAGGACACGTGATGACAAGGCATATGCAGCCCATGGGAAATGTCACACATCACTTTGTCTTCTCTGCCTGGCAAAATCCCAGGCACATCATTCCCAGTGCCTGCCGGCCCAGGACACATTGGTGGCTTGCTTTCCCTCCTACATCTATTCCTAAGGCCAGCCTCACATGGGGCTTTCAGATCACAGAACAAAACCGGCTGTACTGGTGATGAAGATCCAGCTCCATCGCTGGTAATATTCAGAGTGCCCATGTGGCCAAGAAGGCCAGCGACATCCTGGATATATCAGCAATGGTGTGGCCAGCAGGGCCAGGGCAGGGATTGTCCCCCTGTGGTCGGCACTGGTGAGGCCACAGCTGCAGTGCTGTGTCCAGCTCAGGGCCCCATGCTACAACAAAGAAATTGAGGAGCTGGAGTGTGTCCAGAGAAGGGCAAAGGAACCAGTGAAGTGCCTGGAACACAAGTCCTCGGAGGAACAGCCGGGAGCTGGTGGTGTTTAGCCTGAAGAAAAGGGAGGGTCAGGGGGGAACCGTGTCACTTTCTACATCTCCTGAAAGGAGCCTGCAGCCAGGTCGGGGTCGGCATCGTCCCCCAGGTGACCAGTGACAGGACAAGATGGCATAGCCATAGACTGCACCAGGGAAAGTTAAGGTTGGACATTAGGAGGAATTTCTTCACAGAAAGGGTGACTGAGCACTGGAACAGGTCGCCCAGGGAGGTGGTGGAGTCACAATCCCTGGAGACATTTAAGGACAGACTGGACGCGGCACTGAGGGGGCACTGAGTGCCATGGTGTAGTTGATATGGGGGGCGCTCGATCACAGGCCGGACTCGATGATTTTGGAGGACTTTTCCAACCTAACCGATTCTGGGATTAGCCCCGGTACGTCTCCAGACTGCACGACTCCGCTCAGGCCCGAGGCAAGACACGCCCAGCACCGAGCCGCGGCGCAGACGGGCGGGAGGAGGAGCTGGCGCCGGCCCCGGCTCCGAGGCGCCGCGGGCGGGTGCGCTGAGGGGAGGTGGGGCCGCCGCCTCCCCGCCCGCCCGCCCGCCGCCATTTTGGCTGGTTCGCGTCGCTTCCGCCGCTGGAAGTAAACAGAGAGCGAGGCAGGGAAGGAGCGAAGCGGCGACGCGGGCGGGACGGGACGGACCGGACGGTCGAGCGGGCGGTGGAGGCGGCGCTGGGGTCGGCTTTGGCGGAGAGAGCTGATGTGGCCGGAGCGGAGGCGCCAGCGCGGCCCGAGCCCCGGTTAATGCGAAGCGCAGCAGGGAGCCGCCAGGTGATGGGGCGGGAAGGGGCGGGCGGCGGCGCAGCGGCACCATCCGCAGGGTCCCAGGCCCCAGGAGCGGGCTCCGAGCAGCGGGGGCGGCGGAGCTCGGGGCCTGCCGGGCTGTCGGAGCCCCGCGCCGGGGCTGGGCCGGAAGGAGCCGACCCTGAGGGGAACCTTCTCAGGGAGTAGCGAGCGATCCTTAAATCCTACTCCGCCGCGTTTGGGAGTCGCTGCCTCGGGGCTTTCCCGTGACAGCGGTAATCAATCGTGAAAGCCTCGCTGTGTCCAGCCGAGCAGGTTGTTTGCGGCAAGGAGGCGTTGGGTTCGTGTCCGGGTCGCCCCCTCTTCCAGCCCGTGCTCCCCTTCAGCGCATTCCTGGTGTTCCTAGAGCGGCCGGGGGTGAGGCACAGCGAGCTCCGTTGGACAGGCTCTTGGGAAAGCGTTATCAGTCGGGTGCAAACAGCTCTGCACAGTTTGTTTTGTTTGGTTTTGGTTGTGGGGTTTTTTGTTGGCTTTTTTTTTTCTTTTAACTGCCGTTGTGTTCTGGCTGCACCTTACTCGGCAATAAAAACAATGTGAAGCACGTGCTTTGCTCCTCCTCCTCCTGCTCGGTGGCTGAACTGTGTGATTAGGGTTGGACATGACTATTGCAAACAAGATAGCGTGGGTTGCGCCCAGGTGCGGAGTTCAGAAACAAGTCCTTATAATAGGTGGAGAAATTTACTTGGGAAATCTTCAGGAGTTAGGCAGGCACCCGGCTTTCACCTATCTCTCTGCCCCCATGGAGTTGGGTATTTTTGGTGGTTTGTTTTTTTGGGTTTATTTTCCTTTCTGGCAAGATCTTAGCTTCTAAAGCAAAGTTGGTTACAGCAGCAGTTTGAAAAACAGTGATATGTGTGTGTCCTGAGTGTGCCAGAGAGAGTTAAAAGCAAGACTGATGGTTCATGCGTTTCTAAGAAGTGATAAGCAATCATTCCTTGAAAAGTAGGTTTTACTCATACAGTAATTTGCTAGTATGGAATTTTGCATCCACCTCTTCCTTGTTGAAAAGTTTGCCTTGGGTTTCAAGTGGTCAGATCTTTAAATTACTGGATACATAAAGCAAAATGAATTGAACTTGTAATTGCATTGCCTTGTTCTTATGTTAAATGTCCAGAAAGGTTTACTCTCTTAAGTGGCCTTTTAAAAGTAAATGTATTTTCAGATAGCTCTGTAAACTTCTGCAGGCAAATATGCATTCTTTAAATTTCGTATTTGTTTTATTGTTGGCATGTGAAAAGGTTGAAAGCAGTTACATTTAAAAAAAAAATCCAAACCTATTCTGCTACTTTAAGTTCTGAAATGAGAACCCAAAAATTAGACTAACAAATTGGTCAAAAATTAGATGACAAAACAGTTACACAGTTCTTAAAATAATATTTTTTAGTCTTGATCTTAGGCACTTTTTTTCCTTTGGAAAAAAGCAACGTTTGGAAAAAGTTTGCCAAGGAAATACTTTTGAAAGGTTTCAAAAATCTTAATCTTGACGTCTTTAATTGCAAGATGTCGGTAACAAAAAAAATTGTCTGGAAGGATGTGTTTTCCCCCCATCCCTTGCTTTAAGTCATGGCATTTAGAACATGTAACTTCTTATTTTCTTGGAAGAAGAAAACATCAGTATATCTCTAAGTGATGGCTGTGTTGTCTTTTTGTTTTTTAAGTTGGCTGTTTACAAAAATGTGGGACAGTATCCCACAACTTCCATGAGTGGGTTTTGGTCTGTAACCAGCTCATATTAACTATTTAGAGCTCATCCCAGTTAGCTCCGAGGCGCTCATTGAGAGCTGTCGATGACCTGGTCTGCTCCTGTCAACACACCCCAGAGGCCTTTTTTCCAGAAGAAAAATGAATACAGTTTTGTCAGTGGTAGCTCTCTCCTGGTCTGAAAGGGAGACAAAAAAGAGGGGAAAAAAACCCCAAACCCTACCTTAATGCCATGGTAAAAGTAGCCTACCTAACTGGAACATTCATGCAGATTTACTGCCTTGCTAGCAAAGGACAAGTCCTCTGTAAAGGAGGACTTGGAGAGCCCAGTCTAACAGTACCTTCTGTAGCTTTTTACAGATGGCTTTGGAAAGACTTGGACTTCAAACAGGCAACCCTGAATTTGGCAAGTTAATAGCTTGCCTGTGGTGAATGCTTGTTATAACCTATTTGTTTGGAATATTTGTTTAGCCTAAAGCTTAAACTAATGTTGCATTTCAGACTAGCTTATTATAAATATTGTTCTTGCACTATGCTGAGTTATTATCTCTAACAGAAACATGACAGGCTTGCAGTGAATTTGCCAATTAAATCTTGATTAATTTTAAGTTGAATTCCATTTTCATGGTTGCAAAATCCAATTCCTTTATATTTTTGTTAGTTGCAGATGGTTCTGAGTCACTGTTCAGTTTTCTTGCTTTTCTTCACTGATGAAGTGGCTCAGCGCAGAACTGAGTCTCTGGCAGAAAGCTTGTTCCAGCACAGGAATTGTGCTCTGCATAGTCCCGTAGACAGGAACTGAATCGTGGAAAACAGTTCTCAGGAAGCAAGTAGAGATTTTTGCCCAGTACTGTTTTCATCCTCTGCTTGCTTGCAAGTGTGATGGGAGTAAAAATAAGAGCTGAAAAAAGTCAAGACAAATTTTCTTCATCAGTCTTTCGTGACCGTATGTTCAGGTTTGTCTGCATCATCTTATGAGTGGCTTTAGACCTTAAGTGATAGCTTGCTTCTGTCATGTGAGTAGCTAGGATTAAAGCCTTTTAAAGATAGGTAGGGAGGTGCTGGCTTTGAGAAAATAATCTGTGATGCATTGGATTATGAACAGTATCATTTTTAGCTGGCATTTTGTTTTAGGAAGTACTTCCAGACTTAGTCGCAGTACATATCAGGGAAACGTAACTTTTCAGATCCCAGGAGGGATCTGGGCGTATGATAATCCTAGACACGTAGTTGTATTTGAATGCTAAACCAGGATGATTTTGCTGTTATGAAGTCCTTGTTTATCTCCTAGAAATCAGGGAGGCTGGGGGTGCTTTATGTGTCAGGCTCACCCTGCCCCTGGATTCTCTCAGCTCTTTAGAGACTGGAATTGAGCACATTGTAGTTGAGCATGAGGTAGCAGAGCCCTTTAGGACATGATGTGCATCACACTGAGGCTTTTAAAAATAAATGCTCAGATGCCAAGTTCAGTTGTAAGATGGCATGTACAAAAGAAAATGTTTGGATTAAAACCCAGTGAGCCCTGGATGTATTTCAGATATATGTAGTGGTAAGGGTTTGTTTCTCTCCAATAATGTAATATAAGGTAGAAGTTGTTTAAGTGACGTAATTATGGAAAAAGCATATGCTACAACCTTTTGCCGCAGGCTTGCTGAATTTAATACAATTTTGAAGAATTTTTTCTGGCCCTTCTCTGATTTTTTTTTTTTGTGGGTTGAAACTTCCAGACTGTTACTGGAAATCTTCTGTAATGATTATTTATTAGCTGGAAAAATGAAAGCACACCAATGGACTTGATGAAATATATTTTCAAGGATACTGATTTAAAACAGATGCCTATTAAAGTAATGTATTTTAAATAAATAAATTTTAAAAGAAAATATTCTTCCTCTCTGAGAAAAAAATTATTTGGTCTGATACAACATCTGCAATATGCAGTGCTTGCAAGAATGCATACAGTAATTATTTACTTCCTTGATTTTTATCTCCACAGTTTCAAGTGTTGTTCCTAATAAATAGGACTGGGCCAGGAATATTTATGTCAGTGTTCGAAAAATTGTTTTGAAGATTATCGTTCTATTAGTAGAACAGTAGAGTAATAATCAACAATACAGTAAAACAAATTAGGTTCAAAGTATTCTCAAACACACAAAGGAAACACTGAAAGGAGAGTGACTGTTATAAATGGGTTGGCACTGTTAATGATTAAAGAAGTAATAGTAAAGATATCAGTTCAGATGATAATGTTATTTCTGGACTGCCATTTTGGTTTGCCACTTGGGGTTTTTTGCCTTTATATATGGCAGGAAAAAAAAACCTGTCAAGGTGTTGTTGCATAAAATACCCTTTTTCAACTCCACAGTTTTCTATTAATATTGTTCTCGGCTCTTTTGCATTTACAAAATAAGTAATGATTTTTTTTTATTACTTCTGTAGAATGAAACGAGGAAGGAAAACTAATGAGGCCAACAGCAGTTCATCTGACGACACAACTGAGAACGAATCCAAGAGACACAAGATTGTAGAGAAGAAAACCACAGTTGTGCAGAGTCCTGACTGGGCAAATCTGCTCCAAGACATTATCCTGCAGGTGTTCCAGTACTTGCCACTTCTGGATCGTGCTCATGCATCCCAGGTCTGCAGGAACTGGAACCAGGTGTTTCATATGCCCGATCTCTGGAGGTGCTTTGAGTTTGAGCTGAATCAACCAGCCACCTCGAACCTGAGGACTACACACCCCGAGCTAATCAAGCAAATAATAAAGAGGCATTCCAATCACCTGCAGTATGTTAGCTTCAAGGTAGTGTATTTTGTAGGCTTTTTAAAAGTGACTTTTATTCTAAAAGGAGTAGGGCAGCTGTCACTGTGGTAGGTGGCCTTGTTTTCAGGCTTAATATACGGAAGAAATGGATTCTCTCAATGGACGTGTAGACAATGGAGGTTACCTCCCAATTACTTCGTTTGGGTATATTTTCAGTTCCAAAACTTGGAATAACAGTATTGAACATACCTTTTCATTGTCTTATTTCTGTTACGTGAGAATTTTTTTGGCTGGTGGTGTGGTTTGTTTGGGGTTTTTTGTTTGTTTTTTTGGGTCCTTTGCTGGTTTGGTTTTGGGTTTTTTTTGTGAGCTTTTTGATTGGTTTTGGCTTTTTTGGTTTTTTGAGGGTTTTTGTAGCAGTTTAGCTGCTTAAAATTCTGCTTCATGAAGTGGACAGAAATAGTTCTGATACAGTTACATGTTTGGATTACTGCCTCAGAATTAAGTTCAGTCAGGATGCCTAAGTTGAGCATTTCCCCATTTCACATGCTGTAGATACTTGGCTCTAATATTCATGGTTAGAAAACATCTGATGCACAGAGAGTGACCAGTACTGCTAGTCATCAATTAGCAGTTTTAATCTTAAATTGTATGGGATTGTCTGTATTCTGTACAACTGTTTTTCAGGAGTCTGAAAAAGTACTTGCAGTTTGCATAGGATAGTGCATGTACTGATTGTGCCTGGCTGAGAAATACCATTTGATGAGAATTGGTTCTGTTCACATTATGGAATTATTTTCAGCACATGAAAACCTTTAATGTGGGCTTACATACCAGTGTGTTTTGGAAGGGTGCTTGAATCTCATGGCTGCATATGCATCAGCTATGTGAGAGATTTGGAAAGGAAATGTGTTCTGTAGCAAGTTCATCATACTTGTTTCTGAGATCAGGCAGTTCTAATGCTGGAATCACCAGAGTGTGAGGAGTTGAGTCACCTCTGCCTGATCACATGTATTGCTACTGCCTGCTTGCAGTACCAGATACAAGCTGTTACCACGTGGTTTGCAGGGCTTTTATCAGCATCCAAATAAAGAAAACCCAGGGCTGTGGTGGAGTGACCTCCCATTGTCTTATCTCCTGTCTGTGTTGCTTTACACCCAAAGAATTTCGGGTGCCCTTTGCTCATGGGGTGATCCATCAGTTCTTTCATGAGTCACTTCAGTTGTCCTCAGTGCTGCAGAATACACAGGGAAGTGGGTGTAACACTCATCAGTCGTCTGTAAAGGCTGAAAACCAGAGGGCTGTTTTCTGTAGGCAAAGAAGAATGAGTTTGTTGAAAATCAAGGTTTTTCAAGCTCAAGCTTGTGTTTGAGCAGAAAATGAACAGTCATTTGACTTAATCTATTGCTGCCAAGGTAGCAGGGCTTATGGTGGAGTTAAATTTGATCCTGTGATGAAGGTTTATACTGTTCTGCTGGTTTGCGAAGCTGTCGTGGCTGCTGTACATAAGGGGTTATTCAGAAAGCACGTATGAGAGTCAGGGGAAGTCCCCCCAGAGACACTCTTAAGTGATTTGGTTGGGCAGCAAGCTGACTAATTAAGGTTTTGGGGTTTGTGTTGGTTTGTTTGTTTGGTTTTTTCAGAGTATCCATTGCATGTGTTGTGGTTTTAACAGTGAAGGGCCAGTCATTCAGGTTCATATAATAAGGCACTTAACTCTCCAGCAGCTCAATTATATGAACTGGGCTACTGTAAAAAGAAGTGGCTTTTGCACATAGTAAAGGATTTACAGAATTCTTGCATTTTAGTAAGGAGGAATGTACAGAGAAAGTGGAATAGGCTCTGGACCCTCCACTTTCTTGTTATTTGATGTGGAATAAGTATATTGGAACAAACTGTTTGTTTAGTTGACCCCTCACCATGGTATATTTTACCAAAGTGTTTAGAAGAGTAGTAAATTTATAGCAAATAGTCTTGGATTTTTGATTCATACTTTTTTGGGGAATAAACATTGATGAATTCGCAATGAGGTTTGTTTTTTTTTTTTTTTTACATCACATTTCAGAAGGTAAAGTAAAAAACAAAGTTGAAGAGTGTATTTGCAGTGCATTCTGAACACCAAATTCATTTTGTTTTAAGGTGGACAGTAGCAAGGAATCTGCAGAAGCAGCTTGTGATATTTTATCACAGCTTGTGAATTGCTCTCTGAAAACACTTGGGCTAATTTCAACTGCCCGGCCAAGCTTCATGGATTTACCAAAGGTATTTTATTATCTATATTTTCTATTGCAAAGTATTGCAGTGTTTCATACAGTACTTCTGTAACTTTATGAAAAGTTCTATTGTAGGAATATGAATCTTGGATAAAGAAAAGTTTATTAGTGGTCTGGCCTCAAATAAAGGGAGGAGCTGATGTGTACAGTGATGGATATATGAAGTTCCATTCAGTCTCTGAATCATATGAGAGTGTAGGCCTGACCTTGTTCTTTCAAGTCCTCCGGTCTGTTGACCTCAATGTAGTGCTGAGCAGCGTGGTGCAAGTTAAGAGGCTAGACAGTTCAGGTCTGTGTAATTGTGTTGTGGGGTTTGTTTAGGAGACAGTTACAGTCAAATGAGTAGTAGAGTTTTGTCATTGTGGACTTGCCATAGGGCTTACACAATCTCTTCAGAAAGAAATAGGATCGTGATTTGCAGGGCTTCATGTCAGGCAGTCAAGCATTAGCATACTTGGTGAATTTTTGCCTTGCATGTTTACCAAAAGGTAGAGTTTTGTCATTGTGGACTTGCCATAGGGCTTACACAATCTCTTCAGAAAGAAATAGGATCGTGATTTGCAGGGCTTCATGTCAGGCAGTCAAGCATTAGCATACTTGGTGAAGTGCACTGTATTTCTGAAATTTTCAGTCAAGATTTTTGCCTTGCATGTTTACCAAAAATCAGATCTTGTTAGAAAGCATTTAATCTGGATGACACATCTCTTACATGTGCTTTTAGAGAAGCATTCCTGGTAGTGAGGTGGAAGTGTGCTATTGCTGAGGAGCAGGGGAGTGGTTGTGAGGGGCCAGATACAAACAGATTATTAGCTCAATCCCAGTGATGTCTTGGCTGGTGATGGCGGTAAGGACAAGGAAGAACTAGAGACAGCCTCAGGAAAGGAAGTAGGCTGCAGGTAAGGTTAGCTACAGAAGGGTTATCAGTTATTATCCTTGTAGTGGTCACTGCCACATCATGTAGCTCTCTTGAATACATATTTTTAATCTGTAATTTTCAAAGAGGCTTTTCAGATATTTAACTAGTTTTGCTCTGATTTTTTTTCCTTTTCTGGTGTTCTTCGAGGTGTGATGATAAGAAAACCTGAATGTAGTGAAAACAATCCACAGTTTATTGAAAATACTTGGTCCTTTCAGCTCTTTCTTATTGTTTTCTTTATTACTCTGAATGCTGCTTTAGATCTCTTAGCTTTCTCTGGAGGGATATATTAGGGTCATGTTCAGCTTGTTGAGTAATTACTTCTAATTGCTCATGCTATGCTCTTATTCAGCCTCAAGGTTTATAAAGCACAAGCTTCCTTTTTTTGTTCTCAGTAAGTTCACATTTGGCCTTTAAAAAAATAGATTCAAAATAAGCCAAAATCAACTCTAAGGATAATTTGCCTTTTGGTGCTTACAACTCCAATAGTTTTGTCACTTGCATAAGGGACAATTAGTGAAACTAAAGAATTTAATTTGGCCATGGTTGAATTCTTGTGGGAAGCTGTTAGTGACAGGTCTATTGGATGAAAAGTAGACAGAGATTAATTAATTTGGAAAATGGTTTCATACTTTGCTGTGGTTCTGGATTTTTTTTTTTTTTTGGTGTGATGAGGGTTTTTATTTTTATCAAGACTGTATAGGAAGTCTGAACTACTTGGCATTATCTTCATTAGTGCTTTCTTGTTGTCAAGTGACCTGACATGTGGCAAATACCTGTCACTCAGAGTTGTGTTGCCTGTCTTTTCACTAAGTACATTCTAGGTGAATAGAATCTTTTAAAGAATTATGCTACAGATGTGGCAATACTGAAAAGAGCAGCTTTTACATGTTGGGATATTGCCTGTTTCCTGTTAGCTCTTCAAACTAGAAGGTTCAAGTTACCTTTTTTAATAAGTGTGGTTAACTTTCTTTGCCTTTCTATTTAACAGCCTTCTTTTTCTAAATACAGAGAATAAAACCACAGTACTAAAACTCCCATAATACAAATTTGAAATAATATTGTAGTGTCTTTTCTTCTGTATGTAACATATAGAAGCAGCATACTGTTAGGATAGTTGGAGTGGTCCCTAAAGCCAAATTGTGTAAAGATTCTGAGTTGAACTTCCTGTTTCCATTTGCATGAACTGACTTTGAAAGTTTGTGTAAACGTGAAAGCAGTAAGTCCTACTCTAAATCCAGTTGTGTGGCAGTTTTATCAAAAATCACAAATATATCATCTAAGAAGGAACAAAAATTGTTACCAGGCCTTCTCTCATATCACTGTATTCAGGATACGTGCTTGTGGCTCAGAGTGAAACAGGCTTGAAATCCAAGTAGCAGTTCAATTTTTTTAAAGATGCTTAATGTAGTGCATGGAGAAAATACTTTTTTAAAGTCTTGTATTTGGTTAGTCTGATAAGAAATCATGAAGATTGACTAACTATTCACTTCATGCCACCAGTGCTTTTTACAATCACTACTGTATCTGCTCCTTAGTCTGTGTTTCTCAAGTTCAGGTTCCCAGGGCTCTGTCTTTAATGATAAGTTTTAGTGGTTATGCAAAAATGCTGAGCACTTGTCCTACCTTATCTGTGCTGCTTATTCAGTAATTAATAGTTTTCCTGCTCCTTGGCTCTGTTTGGACCACTCCAGTTAGTTTCCAAGAAATCCATCCAAACCCTAAATACTCCTATGTGGGTGGTAGGCAGGCAATACAGTCTTTGGATACAAACACTCCTGACTGTGTTTGCATCTCACCAGTGCAGCACAACTTGCCATGAGGGAATTCATCTTCCAGAAGATGCTTCATTTAGAGTGTGACTTGCCTCATCTGTTGAAAGGACATTAAAAAAAAAAAATCCTCAAAACGAGGGCTTCTAGGCTTTCCCTTTGCTTGTGGTCTTTCTGTAGATTTAAATTTGTGCAGTGGATTGCCCAGGGTGAGGTTCTTGATTAACATCTAATGTTATATGTTCTGACTTGCCCAATTCATAAACAGATAGCAAAAAATTATTACACTTCCTCCACTAAGGAAGTGGAGAACTAAATGTCCGTATTTTAGTATCATTTTTTAATGATGCAATATCAAAAGAATGCTTTTTCAACAAATACTGTCAAGAAGTAAAAACTAGGACTGCTGTGCACAGTGTGAAACCATTGAGATTTTTACTTCACGTACCACTCTTTCATTTAAACTCCCTTTCTTTTTCAGTCTCACTTTATTTCTGCACTGACAGTGGTGTTTGTGAACTCCAAATCCCTCTCTTCACTTAAGATTGATGACACACCCGTAGATGATCCATCTCTCAAGGTTCTGGTGGCTAACAACAGCGACACACTCAAACTGTTGAAAATGAGCAGCTGTCCTCATGTTTCTCCAGCTGGTAAGCTACTGTGGCTTTGGGGTTAGCCTGTTGGGGATTTTTTGGTTGATTGGTTGGGATTTTTTAATGCATGTATTAAATTCTGTCTGAAACCAGTACACCTCTGATAACATAGGGGTGGGGTAAGAGGGAAGATGAGTATGGTACTACCAGTAACTGTCCCTGAATAAAGTACTTTCAGCTGGTGGTCAGTCCGTCTGTCCTACCACTTCACAGTGACTGCTGGGCTAAAGATAAAACACTGCATGTCTGTTGTGGGTACATAGTTAACCTCATGCGGAACTTAATGAGAACATATCAAATTGGTTGTGCTCTATTTGTGCAGTGACAAAGTATTCCAATAGAATGAAGCTTTTTTGGAACACAAGTTTATTTTCCATATATGTTATGTGTGGGTTTTGACTGTTGCAATGCCAGGGATTAGGAAGATGCTGGTTTAGTAATTCTGAAAGAAAGTCATCGCTGGAGGAAAACTGCAGACAGCGTCAAAAAGGGGAGATGAGACTCAAAACTTCTACAGTCACCAAATGTACGTCTCTAACACTCTTAAGTGTGTCTGTAAAAAGAATGAAGCCAGCTCATACCAGAACAAAATCACTGAAGATTGTTGAAGTTCACAGAATTAACATTTGTGGTAGACTTACGCAACACACGGCAAGTTTTATTCACAGACCATCGCTTAACACATACAGTTTTCCACTGAGAAAGGGAAGAGGACTTGTAAATGAAATGCTAGCAACTTAGTATGATTCCTCTTCTGAGGATGAGTAGAAACCATAGAAACCATAACACTATAACTTTCTCCATGCAAATACGTGGCGGCTGTAAATGCTACATTTATTATCTGTCAAATTCACCAGCAGGATTCCTACAAGGGGGAAGGGGAAAGCAGTAGTGGTGCAGAGGGCGTGTTATTGTAGTGATAACAAACAAAACAAACTTAATAACTTTTATAAGTGTATCTCTCAGACAGAGCTTCATATTTGGTTTTGTATCAAGAAGTCCTGAAAATGCAGGACTGGTGTTTTGCAGTAGCCTGGTCCAGCAAAGTGTTCATGGAATTAACTGCAATATTGCCTCCTCCAAAGCTTTCTAGTTGCAGACGGGGGTTGTTTAAATTGGCTTGAGGGAGTGGCTTTTCCAGCTTAAAATTGTTTTTTGAGAATCCTTGTGTCTGAGAAGTGAAAGAGCCGTAGCATGTCTGTCAAGAGGAAAAGGCTTCAGCAGTAATTTGTAGCTAGGCAGAGAGAGTAATTTCCTTGGACTTGGATTGAACAGTAACCTGTCAGCTCTAGCAGACTTTTCTGGTTTGTGGATAATCCTTGCTAGAAGGCTTCATTGGAACATCATACACTTGATAATTTGGGAGGAGACATGGGTGTGTTCTGATTGATGTATCTTGCATGGTTGTAAATTGAAGGAACAATGGGTAAGAAATGGTGGTGCCTGTTAAAGGAGCACATGTCCTTCATGGAGGATGAATAGATTGGGGTAAGATGCATTAGTAACAAAACCAGGGAGTGCTGAGCAAACAGTAGAAGAGTTTAATTGCTTAATTCAGATATGGGTGTGCCTTGGGATGGAGAAAAAAGTGGATGCACTGGGTTTGCATGGCACTTGTTTTGTGGGGCAGTGAGGGGGTTACCGGAGTAGTTTCTGTGAAAACTGCCAGAAGCTTCCCCTTGTCCAGCAGAGCCAAGGCCAAGCCCATTGGTGACAATAGTAGCACCTCTGGGATAACCTGTTTAAGAAGGGGGAAAAGGTACTGCAGGAGAGCAATTGCAGCTGGAGACAGGAGTGAGAACACATGAGGGAAACAACTCTGCAGACATCAAGGTCAGTGAAGAAGGAGGGGCAGGAGCTGATCCAGGTGCCAGAACTGAGATTCTCCTACAGCCCATGGTGCAAGCATGGTGAGGCAGCTGTGCCCCTGCAGCCCGTGGAGGGGCCACAGTGGAGCAGAGGTCCACCTGCAGCCCACGGAGGACCTCATATTGGAACAGATGGATGCTGGAAGGAGGCTGTGACCCTGTGGGAAGCCCATGCTGGAAGAGTCTCTTGGAAGCACTTGTTGAGAGAGGAGCCCATGCTGGAGCAGGTTTGATGGCAGGAATTGACCCTGTGTGGAACACTGGAGTCTGTTCCTGAAGGACTGCATGCTATGGAAGGGACCCATGCTGGAGCAGTTTGTGAAGAACTGCAGCCTGAGAAGGACTCCCGCTGGAGAAGTTCATGGGGGACTGCTCCCATGTGAGGGACTCCATGATAGAGCTGGGAAAGCGAGTGAGGGGTGGTCTGCCCCTGAGGAGGAAGGAGTAGCAGAGACAATGTCTGAAGAACTGACTACAGCTCTCATTCCCTGTACCCGTGTGCTGCTGGGAGGGAAGAAGGTAGAGAAAGTCATGAGGAAGTTAAGCCTGGGAAGAACAAAGGAGTGTTAAGATTCAGTTCTATTTCTCATTACCCTACTCTGATTTAATTGATAATATATTGATTTCTCCAAGTTGAGTCTGTCTTACCCGTGATGGTAATTGGTGAGTGATCTCTCCCTGTCACCTTTATCTTCACTCTTGTTTAACAGTATTCTCTCTCCCCTGCCCAGCTGGGGAAGGGAGTGATTGCACAGCTTGGGTGGGCACCTGGTGTCCAGGGAGGGGCAACCCACCAAGTGGAACAAAGAAAGTAGCTGCTATGTGGATAGTTCAAGAGCAGGCAGGCTGCAAAAATGAGACTCTTGAAGGAAAACGTGACCTGGTTTTTTTTGTAATGGGGATATTATAATTAGCAGGCTGCTATAAATGTAGAAAAACTTTATTGAACCAAAAGGGCTGTGAGTTGCAAAACTAATTACTTACAGATGCAATTAAAATGTCTTCAGATTGGAGGAGGCAGGAATGTTCGTTACTAGGTCAGTTCTCAAGAAATTTTTTAGTGAAGGACAGAAAAGAGTAATAAAAGTAGAGCAAGAGACTCCACTACTGCAGGGATAAAGGAAAAAGATGGATATCAAGCAGTGAATTGCTCTAAGTTACTGTACAAAGATAAAGGGGCACGTTTGAGTTTGGGCTGGAGAAACAAAGGCAGTGATGTATTTCTAATCTTTGTGAGCTTATCTGAAGTCACTTCTGTTTGATGTTCCTGCTCTGAAATAGTAACTGTTGGAACAGTTCCTGAAGTGTTCCTGTAAAGGTGGTATTTGTGCTGTGGCACGGGGTAGGAGGGCTGCTTCTCTTGGGATGGGAGCTGGGAAGCAGAGCAGGTGTCAAGTGTGCCTTCCTCAGGGACATCATGGGTCAGGGATTTTTTTGATGCAACTCTGTAGTAAGATCAGAGAGCAGAGCCGTTTACCTCTCAGTGACACAAAGGTGTAGGCAGTGCCTAGGAGTGTTCTGTGAAGTACATGGGCTCCAGGCAGGCACTCTAGTACCTGTCTACATTGTATACGTTGTCAGCTCTTTATGTAGGATGCATAATTGCATTGACAGACCATGTATATCCAGTTCTAGACCCATAAAAATCACAGTAAGTTGTACCCCAGCTCTTCCCTTTTTGCACTGCACTGGTCCATAATGTACCCCTAAAGTTAACAAAGATTTGTGGAAGGATGGCAGTCAGGACAACAAGCTTTGTTTAGATGAGAAAATGTATATGGATCTTGAAAGTGCCTAAAATACTTTCTATATCTCAACAGACCTAGGTATTCTGAAGCAGCATGTCTGAGTTTCCTTAGAGAGTGATCATAGTGACCCTTCTGATTCATGCAATGTTTTTGCAGTGATTTTTCTTTTTAAGAAAGTGTTTCTATGCTCATCACAGGCTTCTCTTAAATTTAATAGCTGCACTTTAAAATAACTGCCTTTTTCTGAATTCCTTCCTGTTGCTTCAGAATGACAGTGTATTGAGCTCAGGTTTTTCAGTTCCACGTGAAATGCTATGTTCTCATCCCTTCTCTTAATGGAAAGGCCGTATCCTACATTTCATGCGGTTTTCTGGGTCACATGAAATGCACAGGACTGAATGCTGTTCTTAGTGCTTTTTATTTTTTTCAGTACTGTTACCAGTATAATACCATCGCTTGTATCTACAAATAGTGTGAGTGGAAACCTTATTCTCTGGATTCTCTTTTTAATATTTTTGTCTTCTTTGAGCTGCAGATTATATTGAATCATTAAAAAGAATCTGAAAATTGCTGGTTTAGAAATTACTGCTCCAAATTTCTACTGTTTTGCCTCTTTTTTGCTGTAGCTTTTCCAAATTTAAGCATTTATACTTGCCTAGAAAAAACAAATACTGACAGCAGCAGCCTAGCCTCTCTGTTGAATTAAAATCTAACATTCATTTTACTTTTGCTTTACATTTGCCTTCTTCAGGTGACAAATTTCATTCACAGTTGCTTTGTCAGCCACAGAGCACCCAGCAGTTCTTCCAGAGCTGGCTAAGGAAATACTTTTATTATGAATAAGCACCTTTTACAAAAATGAGGTTGAGTATATGTGGTCTTACAACAGGGCAGAACAGTCAGAATATGCTATTTATGTATTTGTCACTTCTGTTTGTGTGTTTGTTTTGCTGGGAATCATAAAGAAGTGAACAGAGATGCAGTCACATTGTGTCTGTCTGTCTCACATGTAGGTACAAAGACATGACTAGATCCTGCTTGTGAAAAAGATGAATGTTCCGGTTGTCCGGTTTGATTTGGTTTTAAGGTCTTGGTTGCACGTTTGGAATAGGTGCCCGTAGCACCCTCCTGATGCACATAGGCAATTCCCTCCTGTTTTATGTTCAGTCGTCAGTGCCTTTATCTGTGTAACCCCTTGCACGTGTTGTGTTCTCACAGGTATCCTGTGTGTGGCTGACCAGTGCCATGGCTTGCGCGAGCTGGCGCTGAACTACCACCTGCTGAGCGACGAGCTGCTGCTCGCTCTGTCTTCGGAGAAACACGTCAGGTTAGAACACTTGCGCATCGATGTGGTCAGTGAAAATCCCGGACAGACTCAGTTCCACACCATTCAGAAGAGCAGCTGGGACGCTTTCATCAAGCATTCTCCTAAAGTAAATTTAGTCATGTACTTTTTCTTGTACGAGGAGGAGTTTGACCCGTTCTTTCGTTACGAGATACCCGTCACTCACCTGTACTTCGGAAGGTCAGTCAGCAAGGACGTGCTGGGCCGCGTTGGGATGACGTGCCCGCGGTTGGTTGAACTGGTGGTGTGTGCCAATGGATTGCGGCCGCTGGACGAGGAGCTGATCTGCATCGCGGAGCGGTGCAAGTACCTGTCGGCCGTGGGCCTCGGAGAATGTGAAGTCTCTTGCAGTGCCTTTGTGGAGTTCGTGAAGATGTGTGGCGGTCGCCTCTCTCAGCTCTCTATTATGGAGGAAGTTTTGATTCCTGATCAGAAATACAGCTTAGAGCAGATTCATTGGGAGGTTTCAAAGCATCTTGGTAGAGTCTGGTTCCCAGACATGATGCCCACTTGGTAAAGTCCTTAAAAGACTCCAGGGCGAATGGAGTAGCACCTTAAACCCAAGCTTACCATATTGCAATTTCCTGTATAAGCTTATTTAATAATATAGATTTTGCTGCAACTTAATTAATGGTTTGATTAGAAAATTAATTTTTCTTTCAAAAATTGTTTTGGAACTTGAGAACTAAAAGAGTCCAAACAAATTCATCCAAACAAATTCAGGTTTTTTTTTATATTTAGTCTTTGTCATTAAAGGTGACCTCAGATATTTTTGGAAATAAAAATTATTTAAAATATTGAAATGCACTTGCAAAATACCAGTTTTAATATGGTGTTTCTCTTTGATTTAGATTAGTAGTATTGAACAAAGTCATATTTGATCTTAAAAAGCTAAGCAAAACCCCACCAAAATTGCATGCTTTTGTTGCAGGCTGTAGCATTTTAAATGCAGTCACCTCGATGACAAGATGATGATTGTGAGGAGTGTTTAGTAGCCTGTGAAATACACACGTTCTGTTAAGTCATAAAGGCAAGAGCAATACACAATAATAAGTTTAGACAACTAAAGTATTAAGTTTACCACCTTATTCAACAGATTATTAGATCCATCTAAAATGTATTTAGAGCGCTAACAACCAGTAGTGCGAGCTACCAAAAGCGGTGTGGGGTTTTTTCCACGCTCTATGCATCTTAATGTAGTTTGCTTATGAGGTCTCAGATCTGCGTCTAAACCTGTTTTAAGGTATTTTATGTCTAGCTCAGGAAGCGAAAGCATTCTGGGGGAAAATGTAGATACATTGTATTTAAAACCACACTGGAGTTAATGAGCTATTCTTGCACATTAACCGGTTGGGCAGCATACGGTGAGATGGAATAATGTATGGTTTGTGAAATGAACCCAGCAATGTTATTCTGATGACGTGGGTGTGAGCAGTGTGAGGTGAGAAAGGTAAAATTTGAATGTTGACCAAGAACCTTTTCACTAAACCTTAGACCTTTTGGCTGCTTTCAGTTTGACAGAAATGACTTTGGAACAGTTGCTTAAGCTGTATAAACTAACTGTATACTGTAAATCTGTTTCAGAAATGTTTATGTATAAAGTGGATGTTTGATAGATGATAATTTTTGTATACCTTTAATTCAGCTAGTTCTGTCATTTCATAATATTTAACAATTCAAAAGGAGTAGACTTGGTGAAGTAGAGCAGTAGGCAAAAATTTGTTTTGAACATTTGATAAATCAGTTTTATTAAAGAAAGTTTTTAGTTTGTAAGTGGTGTAGGCAAGAGACTGCCTGTGATCTGGATGTGGCTTGTGACTTCATTTCTTACTGCCAAGTTATTTTCTCTTTGAGGTTGCTGATGGTAACCCTGAAGTGTTGCCCAGGCAGCTGCATGTTTGAGAGATGTGGTCAGCCCTCAGCAAGGCAGAGCTGCCCCCGCAGGCTGGGTTGAGCTTAGCTGGTGGCTGCTTCTCACTTGAGCTGTACAGCTCCTTCTGGTAGTAAGTAGATTTCCTTCATCTCTGATTTCAGTCATGTTTATCCGAATGTATAATTTAGTGTAATACACTTATGAGTGTATTTAAGTTCATAACTATATTTTGAGCAAACAATGCTCAGCGGACTGGACATCTTTATAGGGGAGTTGTATGTTTCTGTAGAGCTTTGATTTAAAAATTGCATTTTATGAAATATGCGGTTTTTGTATTAGAATTTGTTAAATTAATGTAATACTATAATTTGCTTTTATTTGTACAAAAGGTGTCAATATATTTAGTCCGTAAAAGTAAAAAAGCTCTGTGTCTTTTATAACCCACCTCTCAGAACTGCCTGTATGAGAAAGGTGGAGTAGCATTTGTAGTCTGGGGAATAGGATTTAGTTTTCACTAAATTAATGTGCAGTAATACCATTAGTAATGGAGCCAGAAGCTCTTTGGACCTTGACTGTAGGTGTCCCAATGCTGCAAGGTAAGTCGCCAACGTGTTGGTAGTGGGAATAACTAACTGAAAGGCAAACACAACCTCAGTACCAGATCCCACTCCTTTGAAGTCACACCTTTGAAACCCAGCGTATTAGGAGCTGAAGGTGGCAGGGTTGGCTGTAGCAGAACTGCTTCAAATACCCCATCAAGGTAACTGGCCGGCTTTGAGAAGCCTGTGTTGTTGCACTGACTTCAAAAAGTCCTTCCTGCATGCATCACCACATTATACTGGTTATTAAGATGTTCACCACAAGAAAACTGCTTAAAAGCAGTTGTCTCCCTCTTCCATGGGAGGTCAGCAGTTTTTATACATTGAATCAATTACTGCATTCTTTGTTCAAATAATCCAACTATGACATAAACTTGCCAGCAAGCCTACAGTGCTTTTTGAGCAAATTCTGTGTCTTCTTTTGCCTTCTAGATGTTGAAACAATTCAAATACATAAAACCATGGCACAAGTAGTAAAGAGTACCACAGACTCACAAAATTCACTAGAAACAGGAACGTGAATGTCATAGATGTATCGTTTTCCCTGAGCTCACCTTTATTTCTTATTATCAGAATAACAAAACGCAAGTGTTGGCTCAGTTGTCCAGTTTTGGGTAGGAGTTAATGTGTGCAGTGACAAATCTCACCTCTGAATCCAAGTGGTGACAAGTTAAGATATTGAAGGCAGCAGCTCTCTTAATCCAGAACATCTGGGGGTGGGTTTGTGAGGGGGAAGGCAGAGAGTATTGGTACCAGTGACTTTCATTGTGTGGTGCTTTGAGAAACAGGAGCAGCACACTCTGTTTGACCTTGATGGATGATGGGCCAGGATCTGCTTTGCTGGAGAACCCTCATGGAATGAAGTGTGGCTTACAACCCCGAGCAGCCCACAGGTGTGGTAATGCAGCAGTTTTGCTCAAGACCAGTGTGCAGACTTGGAAATCATTGTAGTACAGAATGATTGTATATTTTTGCCCTCAAGTGAAATGTGCATAAGAGCAGGGAGCAGAACCAAGCACAGTCTGAAGCGATGAACAAATCCTGTATTCAAAGTGTGAGTAAAGACTGAGTGACACTGACACAATGCTATGCTTATCCTTGAGCCTGGCAGTTTGGACAGTCCCCTGGTTCCTATTGTTGGGCAAGTGCTAATACCACCTGGCTGTGAGTGAAATGAGGTGAGATCCTACCTACTGTTCCCTGTGTGACTTTCAGGAGGAGGCCATCCTTAAGCATTAGAGGTGAATAGGTGGTTTTCAGTCACAAGCAGATCATCAGGTGCACAGAAGCTGTGATATCTAATGCTTCCTTTTTAAAAGGATCTATTCTGGGCTTGTCTAAACTTTGCAGAATTAGCCTATTTATCACCTCTCTGGGTTTTTTTGTATCTAACTCTGTAGGCCTAATTCAAGGATTGTGGATTCTACCTACAAGAGAGCACTGCACTCAACAACTTCAACTCATTCCAGTGCAGTGATTCCAGTTTAACTTCAACAATGGCACTTCTTTCAGGACTGCAGTTTGTACTGGTGGAGTTTATTCCCACCCAGCTGTGCATTCAGTCTGAACAATTAATTCACACACAACCCCCCCCCAGCTGAGAGAAGCAAAGAAAGTGAGAGCTCTCTCATAAATACTGGCCTCAGAAGGAACTCATGTGTTATATAAAGGGCAACTCCTGCATTGACAATTGGTACCTTAAAGTGAGGATAGTGTTCAAAGTGTGAAACAGACACGTGGCTGCATGGAGGAATCCCCACATCACTGGCAGTGTGATCTATAAGCTTGGTTCTGTGATCCTATTTTCCCTTCAGAGCTTTGAACAGTGGTTTGTGATATTGAGGCTTTTTCCTGGGAAGACAAAAGTGGGTTTAACATTGAGGGTTTCAGAGACATAAAGTGCATCAATGAGAATGTAACTTCTGTAGACAGGCTTATTGCAGCCCCTTTGACTTCCCTAGTCAAAGGGCCTCTGGATTACCTTCCTTGTGGTGTTGTGTGGTGCTTGATTGCTGGCTGGGGTGAAACCATGACAGTATCTTAATCCAAAGCTGAGCTCAGTCACAAGGGCCTGTGACTTTGGCTAAAAAGACTCGGGTCTTTCAGTCGATGGTAAAAGATGAATTTCACTTCTCAGTGGAAGTAGCAGCTTGAAGAGAGGTATGCTTATCCTTTCATTCTTCTCCCATTACCTCTCATGCTCATCCCATTACATGATAATGCAATTCAACTAATTAATTTTAATGACTTTCTGAATACAAGGGTAATTTTCTGCCATTCTTATTATTTGAATCCAAGCACTATATACTCTCCGCTCTGGCTGCAGCAGGGCTCAAGCAAAATGAAACTGCAGAGTTTTGTTCCTGTGTTCCTGCTTGGCCACAAGGCAGCAATAACCTCTGCAGGAGCACTATCCATCCCATAGCTAGTTTTAAAAAAAACATCCAAGTGAGCAGTGAACACTTGGAAATGACTACATTGCTGCAGCTGTGGTTTTTCAGTGTGCAGGCACCTCAGCAGCTTCCAGAAAGCCAGTGTTCCTCTGGCTTTGGTCCCTTGGGTTTAAAGGGAACAAAATAGTTGCCAAAGTGCTCGAAGCTGAGCCTGGAACAGGACTCAAGGACAGCACAGCACCACTACAGCAAACATCACTGCTAGGAAGAGGCTGCAGTCACATTTTAGAGGCAGCTCTGTGACAAGCATGGATTTTTAACTCCAATGTTGATGCCCCACAAGCTGTCATTACTTCTTTCATATTAAAATTTCTATCTTTTAAAAAAATTTGAAAAGAATATACACAAATTCTACAAAACTGACCCAACTGAAGCCTCAAGTAGACTTTAAGATAGTAGACTGGATCATAGAACACTGCAATTATGCATGAGTCGACACGAAGGCAGGCAGTTTGGCTTTTATCTGTGGCACAGAACACATGAACTGAAGAAGAGCCATCTGTATAGTGTTTACAGTGCAGCTGAAGGAAGCAAAGTGGTGAAAAAGCATCACTCATGCCATCCTCCAGTACATTCACTGCCCCAGAATACCAGAGAATAGTTCATAGGCCCCAGCTGTACAAACCAAAGAACTACAGGAACATCAGTGTAAGGCACATGCTGAAGAAACTGGACACATCCAGACACTCATGCTGAGCAAGTCAGTCCTTGTAACTTGTGTCCCACCTCTGCTGGTGGCCATGCCACGTGGCCATGCATGTGAAGAGCACCTGAGCCAAGAGCCGACAGCTGCCTCCCCATTCCCCCTGTGGAACTGCAGGGCTCAGCCAGAGGAGCCGCTGCAGTCTCCCCTCAGGCAGCAGGGGGCCATGCTTACA